CCTTCAGCTGCTGCTGCTGCTGCTGCAGCAGTGGCGGCCACCTCCTCCCCCCGGGCGCCCCACATATCCGGGCCCAGCACCGCCCCAACTGCTCGTCCACGTAGTCCCGTACACCGAACGACTCGCTGCCGCCGCCGCCAATGCCCAGTTCGCCAAACCTGTTTCCGTCATCCCGGCCGCGGCGGCTGAAGAAGCAGCTGCCGCCGCCACCAGCTGCGGCACTGCTGCAGCTGGTACTGCTGCGACCCTGTTGTTGTTGTTGTTGTTGCTGTTGTTGCTTCTGGCCCACCTGCGCTATACCCCCGGCGGATGCACACACCCCGGTGGTGGTGCAGCTGGCGGCGGTAGTGCTGGTGGTGGTGGTGCGGACAGACTCTGCTTCATCTGCGGCTGTGCAGCTACCGTTGCTGGTGGTGGTGGTGGTGGTGGTGGTGGTGCAGCTGGCGGCGGTAGTGCTGGTGGTGGTGTACTTCTGTCGCAACCTCTCCAGGGAGGCTAACACGTCCTGGGGTGGGGTGGGGTGGGGTGGGGTGTGTGAGGGAAACACATATTTTACGAGAGAACAATTGATAGCACAATAATGAAATGAAGGACATGGGGTTGTGCGAGGAACATGACGATTGGCGCGTGTAGTAGTAGCAGTACTAGTAGCAGTACTAGTACTAGTAGTTAGCAGTAGCGGAGCATGAATTGGAAGGGGAGAGTGGCATCGAAGGTGTAGCAGAGGGGCCTGAGGGGGCTGATGGGACTGATGGGGCTGGAGAAGAAGATGCCGATGGAGGAGAGGAGTGTGCGGGGAGGTGGGGGGTGCGCCGGTAGCTGGTTAGCTGGACGTGCGGTACCATTTGTCAGCGGCGTACGGCGAGTGGGCCACTGACGACTGAAGCAGGTACAGATGCCCATACTGCAATAGACGGATAGACTTTTGGGGGATCATATGGGAATCATACTCAGCAAGGAAACACGGAAATGAACTGCCGTCGTGTACAACAAACTCCGAAACTGCCCCTAGTGAGTGAGTCCTAAGCGATGATGAAGTCACATCGACCCACGGTTCAGGGTGGTGCGTAGGGCGTAGTCGGGGTGCGGGGTGGCCGGTGGTGCAGCGGCCGAGTGCGCTGTCGCGCCGGGAGCGCGAACATGGGTGGTAACCATCAGCTGGGCGGGCAGCTGGGGCCCCGTGATACCCCGGATGTATATGTACATACATACTGACGGAGGAGGAAAGCCCCGTCTGGACATCTGAGGGGCCCCTCATTCGCCCCTCATTCGCCCCTCACTATCCCGCGGACCTGTAGTCCCAGCTCGGATTCGAACTGGTGCAGGTCGTCCGGGGAGGGTCGCCGCAGGAACATGTGGCCCGAGTAGCGCGACCAGGCGGACATCTTCAACACCGCCCTGAAGGGGGGAAGAAGGAAGAGCAAGGAGGGGGGAAACGGGGTTTCAGAAAGGGTGTGCGTGTGTATGTGGTTGGGGAGGGGCGAGGGGGAAATTTCATACATATAGTAAGACCGAGACAATTTCCCCATCGTTAAAGCACCAAAGAGCGTGTATGTGTGTATGTGTGTACGTGTGAAGGGAAGGGTTGGGGAGGAGGCCTCACTCTCTCCACTTCCCCTCCACTCTTCCATTCCCCCACGGACACACACTCTTACTTGACGGTCTCCACCACCATCAGGGGTCCGTAGCGATTCATCTTGCCACGGCTCTCCAGGTGCATAGCCCGCAGCTCGATAAGGGTTTCCAGCTGCGGAGGGAGGAGACGGGTTTGTGTCTGTGTGTGTTAGGGGGTTGGTCTTGGATTCTTGGATTAAGTATGAATTTGGATTTGGAGTATGCGGCGCGAGGGCGGGGGGCAGAAGGGCCAGGTGAGGAGGGGGCCGGGGAAATGGATGAGGGGGCTGAGCTAGGCGTTTGGGGTGAATAAGGCACACAGAAAAAAGGAGGAGGGTAGGTTGTGTGTGTGGGGGGGTGTTAGGCGGTTGTGGGGAGGGGGGAGTAACTGTAATGTTTTCCAAGGAAAGTGGGCCGGTGGGGTGACGGGGAAGCGCGAGGCCGGCTGGTGTATTTTGGGTGTGTATGTGCGTGTGTGCACGATAAATATCATTGTGTATTTCTGTGTGTGTGTGTGTGTGTGTGTATGGTGAGGAGGACAACACAGCACGCAGGGTTTAGGAGCTACAGAGAGAAAGTATGAGCCGTCGTCGCAATGCAGTACAACTTGTTGACGGCATAAATTGACGGAGGAAATAGGCCAGAAATGCGAGCTGCCTCAAGCCTGCTCCGGACTGGTGTGGGACCAGTTATGACTACGACGCGAGGACCTCCCAGTTCACAAGATTGACAACTATTCCGTGAGATGCGCAGTAAGGCTTAAGCTGTTTTGGGTAAAAGCGCAATACAATGTACTTATTACGTTTCACAATGGTAACGATGGCAAGGAAGGCGTGGGCTCGCCTTAGAGCCGGTCCACGGCAGCAATCAACGGCCATCGCCGACAGTTAAAATGTGCGCAAAGGCCCCCGAGACTGTGGTACCTACGTATTCAATAGCGTCCAACCATAGGTACTGTACTGGTCGCGACGTGGGCAGGTCTCCTTCTTCAAGAATGTTTTGATGCCACAGCGATAGAAGACCCACGGCGGCATGATAGGCTTCATACGTGAACTCAAAGCCACCATTTGTGCGACTGGGGTTCCATACAGTAAGGAGCAGTAACCAGTCGAGATTTTGCACCACGTTAGGGTGGCGCCTTACCCACTCCTTATACCGGGATAGCATGTTCCCGTAAGTAAAAATTAAGCACGGTTTAGAGGTGTTCAAGGGCCATCGGAGCAAGATAGAAGAACAGTCCCGCCCATTCCGGTCGTTTGTCAAACTGCTGACGCTGACGCCCCCGTACTATAACGATTTCTATGGAACTGATGGGCATCGTATGTTATGTAGACTGGAGTGTAATCCTTAACATCATTGTCTACAATGGCAACAATTCCGTCACGTTTTCATATCGGCACATCCTCACAGCCCTACCGGCTTGCCAGGCCTTCGCTGCCACACGTGATATGTAAAAAGCAATCGGTGGACATTTATCATGCTTTTGCTGATAGCTATGTCCGACAGCGACAAGCGTGCCCACTTTTGCCTTCCGGGTCAAGCCGTCCCAAAGTGCAGGTGAGGGCCAGGAGCTTGGCGCTCCTGTGTCATGTGTGATATCTGGTCATGGATAGCCTCACTGGATGGAGCGCACCCGATGAAGTAGATCATAGGTTGACGGCTTGTAGCCGTTACAGACCGCGCAATAAGAGAGATGTAAGGGACGGGGCTCGCTTTGCGGGACACATAACGATAACAGAACATAGCGCCTTATGCACATGGATGTTTTGGAGGCAACGTTACCAGTCCAAATCAATCTAACTGTCGGTGGCATCCGGAGCTCGCACTCCCGGCAAGGCTTTGATGTGCAATCCATCCTGATCAGGTACTCCAGAAACGGGAGACGCAGGCCAACAGCACAACCACATGGCACCGCGCTCCTGCCATAGCTTTCTTTCGGAGAATTACTTCGATGCAGCCTATCGGCGCGCACGCTCTTGAGTCGGCACGCATGCTGCCTCGATACCCTCTTTACATTATTCGCACTTATTCACTCTTGTGTCGGCTCACATGGGCACCGTTGTCCTAAACCTTGAGCCGCACTTTCCAATCTAGGCCGCGCGAGTTGTCACGACAGAGACGCGGCCTGCTAACACACATTTCCAATCAGCTACTCCTTTCCGCTACTTATTATTTTCTCCTGGAGAAGCCAAACCTCCCTTGTCGGCTGTTGACCCTTTCCTTCCTGCATCTACCAACCTCACCAACCCCCCCGCCACTTTGTCCACCGCGGGCCTAGCCAACCCATCATCCTCACGCCTTGTCCGTCCTGACATCATTTCAAAAGGGTTTTGGACAGGCAAAACTCCCGCCGGGCCCACACCCCACGACCCCGCGCTCAGATCCCCCGAAACGGGTTTCCCTTCCTTCACAACGGGCAGTCTCCTCCACCGACCTCTCTTCCCTCCTCTTGCCCCCCTCGACAACCCGAAAACCCCAAACGCCCCGTCCTCCTCCTCCCCGTCCTCCCCCTCCTTCCCCCCGATAGACGTCGGCCTTCCTGTTCCGCCGTGAGGCCGCGACAGCCCCCGACCCGCAGTCACCTGAGCAGGTACGACAGCGATGTTCGTCCGTATGTATGTAACCGGGGCTGCGGCATTTTTTCCCAGAGCTGAACACGGTTTGGGACCACGACCCCAAAGCAAACCCACCGCGTCCTCATCCCCCTCTTTAACACCTCTTTAACACCTCACCCCATATTAAGTCTCTCCTTGCCTCCACACGCCGCAACCTCGCTCATCCCCCCCAACACACGCACACGCACGCACACACATACACAGACACACACCCCGCACCCTTATACCCCGAGCAGACCGCCCTGCGCAACTCGGCTGGTTGGCAGAAGAGTCTGAGCTTCCTCGCCTTCTGGATGCAGCTGGCGCTGACGGGGGTGTCCGCGGGGGTGCTGCTGTTCTCTCTGGCGGCGTCGGGAGCCCCCGCGGTAGAGGGGGAAAGGGGGCGGTGCGGAAGGGGCTACAGCAGGCGGGTTGTGGGTGGTGGTTAGGTAGTTGGGAGTTAACAGCGGGAATATTCCATCTGCGCGATGTGTCGGGCGTTGGCGGGAATATTCTTACTTTTAGAACGGGAGGGAGGGGGAGGGAGCGACATAAGGGAGAGATCTGGATCTGGACTTGGGAGCTGCCCTACCCACTCACTCAATCGGCGGTTGGTGGTTTGTACTTCGGCAGTTGGTCCGTTGCATCATTCTTTGCATCATGATCATCCTCGTCAACGGCCTTAAATCCATGTAATGGCCCCCTTTCCCGGCCCACCTCGCCCCAACCCACCCCCCACCTCACCCCTCACCTCACCCCCACTTCGTGCAGGGTGCCAATCCCTCCTGGGACCGCTACTTCACCGCATGTGGGGTGGTGTGCGGCTTCATCTCCACCTTCTTCGCACACGGGTTCCTGCGCCTGGCTCGCCGTCTGGCTGCGGGCGAGGTCGTGGAGCCCGGCTGGTTGGAGGGCAGTTTGTTGCGTTGCAACGGACTTAACGTCCTGGGTATGGGCGTCACTGTGGTGGGGCTGCAGGCGTCTGTAGGTGGGTGTGGGTGTGGGTGTTTGGGGGGGCGGGAGGGCGGGCGGGAGGGGGAGAGGTTGCGGGCTTGAGGTGGGGGCGAGGGGTGCTGCGCTAGGTACGGGTGCTATGAATGCATCCACCTGTTGACAGGTGGTGAAAAGACTCATACATACATGCAAACAGGTGCTCACCGTCCTCCCAAACACAGGCACGCTGGTGGCCAAGTCGCTGCTTACCTCCACACAAACGCCCTTCGCCGCAGCCAACGCAGCGAATGCCGTCATATCGTTGGACGTGTTTTCGCTGCAGGTGGTGGGGGGTGGGGTGGGGTGGGATGGAAGGGGTGGGGGCGGATGAGGGGGTGGGGTGGAGCGGCGAGCAGTAACTTATTGGGGCTGCTTGTTTTGAGGAGAAATGGGGTTTGACAGCAGCGGCAATGAGAAAGCTGCCTAGGTGGTTTGCTCATTGCTGTGATTTTGTTTTTAGTATTTCTTTTGGGCACGGGCCCCCCCCCGGGAATGCGAAGCGCCTTTCGGGGGCCTGAGGCCCCCGGGGTTCACTGCTGTCAGTCCGTCTGTCAGTCCGTCTGTCAGTAAATCAGTCAGAAATTCGCATCCTGGAAAAGGCAACTCGAAATTCAATGGTTGGCTTTTATAGAAAATTTCTATTAGAAATGGCTGTTGTATATGCCGCTGCAAGCCTGGCGACAAGCTGCTGGTCGATGGAGGCTAGGAGGCAGCAGCTCCTCTGCTGCACTTGTCGCCGAAGTCACCAACCGATAAGGAGTAACGGTCGGTTACCGGTCGTTATCTCGAAATGTCGATGACCCTACCGAAGCGACCGGTTCGGTTACAGCTAACCGATCAGTTAATGATGGCCCTTTTATGCCATAGGAAGTGCGGTGTGCGTGTGCACCCTGCGGCGCGCGCTGCTTCTGCTCATGCTGCTTTGGTTGCTGTGCGGCCGCAGCGGTTTTCTCGCTCTTTCCTTGGACTTCCCTGGAATAGCTGCTTATGGCTCACCTCATCGCCACACTCCGCAACTTTTCCAGCCCATCCATGCCAACTGCTCCAGCAGCTCTTCCCTCCTTGCCTTCTGCTCCATCTCACGCACGTTTCATACACATCCTATCCTTGTTGAGATGAAGGCGGCGCGCAATGCACCGCCTATGGAACTGCATGAGGCGCCTTAGCAGCAAGTGTGTATATACACCAGATTCGTACATCACGCCAACGCCGCCGGCCGCCGCACCCGGCCCTCGCAGCTATCCATAATAATAATAATGACCGTACAGTCCAAACACGACACCGTTCGTTCTCTTGCAACCCAGTGCCGTACAGCCTCCCCTGCAGAATATTGCGAGGTGACTGCTGGTTGATGCACCGGGGCCGAGCCTAGCTTTATTTTTATTGTTGCTGTTGCTGGTAACTGCTGCTATCCTCTTCCACATACACACACAGACACACACACACCTTCCGCGCCACACAGCCCCCCGAGCACCCCGCACCATAAAACCCACATACACGTTCCCACACTGCACACTTTCCTCACCCCTCATCCCCCCCCTTACTCCCCCGGCATATGGGGCACATCTCCCCCCCTTCCCCCCCCCCTTCCCCTCCAGGCCGCCACCAACACCCTGCTAAGTCACCTGGTGTCGCTGGTCTTCACCAACCTCATGTTGCGGATAACCAATGCAGCCACACGCTCTGCGGCCGTGCCGGTCCCCCGGTCCGACAGGGTGGGGGCGGTGGCGGTGGGCTCGGACGGGCTGTCCCCCGTACGACCCGCCTCATTGGGGTACAGCCCGTGGACCTTGAAGGCGGATTGAGGGGGGTTGGCGGGGGGGGAGGCAGAGAGGGGCTTGGGGAGAGGAGGGGAGAGGCTGATAAGACTGGGACGCTTCAGGGGTTTGGGGAGGGCCATATCACGGCCGTGGGGGGAGGGAGGGAGGGAGGGGAAGGATGGATTGGGGGTTGTTCGGGGCTGAGGGGTGATTGGGTTGTTAAGAATGTATGTTTGTCTGTTCCTGGTGGTGTTGTGTTGTGAGCTGCGGCGTTAGGTGGTGGTGTTGATGCCCGGGGTCTGTCGGCTGGTAAGAGCTGTGTCAGGGCGGTAAAAGTAGTGGTGAGGATGAACATAGTAATGGTTATGGTGATGCAGGAGCAGATGGCCGGTTGATAAGTTGGCTGTGGCTGTGGGCTGGGTGCCATCAAAGGAGGTGTGAGCTGTGCATGGCCGTAATTGCCGTACTTGGCCGACGCAGTACGTGTGCGTGTGTATGTGTGTATATGTGTATATGTATACGTATGTATACGTATCGTTATGTGAGCTGGTTTGTGAGAGCAGATCCGAAGGCAATTTCAGGTGTCAATACATACATACGTACAGATCGACATGTAAGCTGCCGTCCGTTCAAACTGTTCCGACATGGCTCCTTGTTTTATTTCTGTGCTCGTGGTGTGTGCATGTATGTATGTATGAATGTATGCATATAGAAAAGGGGGGCTCCTGGGGGATGCGGCGGGGAGTGAGGGGCCCCGTGCGTGTGTATGTATGTATGTATGTGTGTATGTATGTGTGTGTGTTTTGGGGGCCCAGCCACTCGGCTAGATGCACATGCGGAAGTCCGCTGTATGTATGTGCATGTGTAGGTACGTATATATGTAATGAAGAAACCTTAACGGCCTACATCTTGTAGGAGATGTGGTCAGGTATGTACGGCATGTGGATGGAGGTCGACACGGGGTCCCGAGCCGCTGGGTGCTGCCCCAATGCCCGGCCCCCGACCCCCCAAGAGGGCCGCACAGGGCCGTGACGATGATGGTGATGGCTACACGACCTTGGCTGCACTAAGAAAAGTCGGAGGAGAAGTGCGAAAAGTCTATTTTTGCAGAACGTTGACGTTTAAAAAGATCTGTCGTACACTGGGGTGGTATCACGGCAGCTCGGCGGCACGTGACATAATAATGTTGATATTTGAGTCGCTGGGGTAGTTGATGTTGGCGTGATGGGCTTTGCTGGAGCAAACGTTTTGAGAGAAGAACACGCCGCCTTCTTGCTCGGGGTTCTTTTCATCAGTACCGGTACTGGTACTGGTCCAGGTGTTCAAACCGGGGAAGGGAAGGGAATGAAACACACAGAGATATACGCACCGAGAGACACAGAAAGAGAGGACAGGCACCGCCACGGTGTCAAGTTGTTTCAAGCGACCCTGCTCAGACGGCCGCGCGCCCCACCCGGAGGAGGCGGAGGAGGTTATACTACGTAGTTTGTAGTATTTGAATCTGCCGTCCACTTTCTTGTAGTTAGGAATGTGGGGGCTGGCAAGCAGCAAGCTAACATAACAGGCACCTTGACTTGCGCTTATAAGTGCCGGTAGTAAATTATGCCCCAGCGGGGCTGTCCATCCATGGTGAAAGGAATATAAAACAGGCTGGTCGGTGGCAACGGTGGAAAGTCCGCAGCTTTGCTGATAGCAATCGAAGCAAAGTTGGCTCTAGCTTGTCAACAGCTGTACGGTATTTAGGCTTGCCAGACCGTACGTGCTATAGTGGGCCCACTTTACGGTCATGAGATGTGCAGTACACATTTAGGCATGCAGCACTTCCACGAAGAGGCATAAGTTCTGCACGGAGGGAATGATGGGATTTCGCGTCGGCAGCTCGCCATTTGTTTATCCTAATCACGCTCTATGCATGCCTAATTTTGCTCGAGGCTGATAAGAGTCGCCCATTCCCTATAGTAGTAGGAAAAACACAGCTGGAAGCAAACATGAAATGGCTTGATGCCGGTAAAGGAGCTGCGCCCGCCAAAACCGGCGTCGCATAAGTCGGCGGAACGCTTTGCAAAACCGAGACATCAGAATTTGCTATAATGGAGTGCAAAATAAGGATACAGTGGAAGGCGGATCAGGAGGGCCTGGAATATGACGTCGCAGCAAACGACGATGCGAAGACCAAAGCCGTCTTGTCGGCTGGAGTGCTCAAGATCCAAGGGACATGGTCAGTATGCGTTTGTGCGATTTATTTGCTATACAGAGAGCGGTGTATTCCTGTCCCACTTTCCCTGGTGACCAAGGCGGCTCACAAATCGTGCCCGTCCGTTTGCCTAACAGGACATCCAAGCCTATAGCACGTTTGTCCGTCCTCCATTTGGCTTCTGATGGTGGGTTTTGCTACAGATTGCGTGGGGGGAAAGGTGATACTCGCCGCAGCCCCACGAGCCGACCCGTGCAACGCCCTACAATTTCGCACACCACGTTGTTGCCCTGCCTCTAAAAACACTTTTTCGAACTGTGCACTTTGTCCAAAAACCTTACCGCAAAATCATTCCCCCTTTCTTCGAATGCCCTTAAGTCGCCGGCCTCCAACGCGCCTTCTATTCCTGTTACCAGCCCTGCCTTCACCAGCTCATTGCATTTTGATCCTGTCGACCCGCCACTTTGACCCACTTTCAACTCGCCCGCCGCTCCGAACCCAACCCCCTGCCTGGCTTTCCTACAACAGGCCAGGGCCCCCATCTGACGCTGTCAGCCCCGGGGCCGCGCCTCCCCGCCGGATCTGACCCCACGGATAAGGCCCAGCGACGGGGCTACAAAAGGTTAGCAGCGCAGCCCCTCACGCCACCTCGGCATCGCACGTGCACTTGTTGGAGGCGCTGGCGGCTAGCGGTGATGGGGATGGGTGGGCGCCCCCGCGTTGCACCCCCGAAAAGAGGCAGAGAGGGTAGTGTTAGGTTCAGGTGTTGGTGTTGGTGGCTGGCAAAAAGGAGCCCCGCTAACTTCACCGCCGCCCCTTCACTTCGCAGTGCCGTGGAAACTGCCATTTGTTCGGATATGTTTGATTAGGAGACTATACAGATGCTCAACCTACCCTGGACGCTAGTTTTGGAACCCTTTCTCCCACTCCCTCTCGCTCTCTCTCTCTCTGATTCCTCCCTGTCACGTTCTCGCAGCTGTCTGGCGCAAGCTCCTCCTGAGTCCTGTGCAGCCACCTTCTCCGGCCTATAGAGCTCCCATCCCCTTTTTAGCGGTGACACCCCACCCCCTCCCGTGTCATAACCCCGTACACCAGCTGGCTCCAGCTACCCCGCGAGACGTCAAATTGGTATCCTACCTGGACCATCATGTTGTGCAGTACATGTTCAGAAACTGTTTTTTCACTTGGTGGGTTGATTTCTTCTCTCCCCCGGGGGGCCACCCCGCGCCCACCATTGAAACCCCCTTGACCTCTTTCGCTCCGGAAGGTCGTTGAAAGCGTTGGCGGCTGAGCATGCGGCCAGTCTGGAGGGCCGATACGCGCTCAGAGCTATGGTGGGGCCGAAGGGCGCTGTCGCAGCTACAGCAGCGGCTACAGCCACCGCCCCGGGCAGCCCCACTCGGCGAAAGGTGCGGGAGGAGGCGGCGGCGGTGGGGCGGCAGGGCTCCGGCGGCGGAATGGAGCTGGTGCTGGCGCCTGTGCTCGTTAACAAGGGTACCGCCGAGGAGGGTGAGGGGGAGCGGGGTGGAGAGCGTGGATGCCGCTGAGTGGTTGCGGGGTTGGGGGGGCTTAGGGGCGTTGTGTGGCTTGGTGGCCCCAGGGCTTGTCAGGACACCGGGGCTGGGGACGGGGCTGGGGATCAGGTTTGCTCTCCCATGGTCGCTTCCCAACGGTTGCGCTGCGGTTGGTCTGTGTCGGTTTTTTCGACAGGCTACTTGCTTGTTTGTTTGGGGGTATATGAGGCTGTCTGCCTACCTTGTAGTCTGGTAAATTACCCTGCTTGTCTGTCTATCTGTCTGTCTACCTGTCGGCCTCCTCCTCGGGGTTCTCGGAGGAGAGGCGTCCTCCTCTCTGTGTGGGTCTTAATCTTCCGGAGCCGCGTCGTGCGCCTTCACTCACCGCGTGGCCTTCACCCACGTAGCCGAGAGTACGGAAATCGTACAGCAAGTAACTTTAATAACCGACCACAGGGTCATATGGCATGACAATGCGCGCGCGAGGTCTGTATATACATCAGCTCTGAAAGTCAAAAGGAGCCGCACAGGGTAAAGTTCCTTTCATAATTTCAATCCTTATTAACATTCTCTCCCACCACAAAAACGTTGTTTTATGAGCTACAGCTGATTGATCATCACTGTCTATATTTCTGCCACTGCCACCCGCACCGTCAGGCCCTCCGGGTTCCCAGAACGGGTCGCCGTTGTTCTGGGGCTACCGCCTGGCCCCGGGGGCGGTGGAGGCGGCGCACCGGGCCATGGCCGAGTGCCGCCTTGCGGTGGTTGCGAGTCTGGACAACGACGGCCCGTTGGTGCGGTCGTACACCGTACAAGATCTAGAGGCGGAGCTACGTAAGGCCCGTGTTGACAAGTGAGCTCATGGTGGTTGTGCGTGTGTGATGGGGGGAGAGTGATGTGTGTGGGGGGGGAATAGTGGTGGTGGGGTGATGGCGGGGAGAGTTAACCACACGCATATGCACATGCACATGCCTTTGCGCTGTTTTGATATGGTAGCTTCCCAACTTCGCAGGGATGCGCTTACATCGGAGTTGTCGGCCGCCCTGGAGCGCGAGAGGAACCAGCAACCGCTACTGCTGACGCTACTGCTCGATCGAAGTGCTGCCGCCGCTGACGACGATGTCACCGGCGGCGGCGGCGGCGGCCAGGGTAAGAAGAAGCGGCGGCGCCTAGGCGTTGACGGCACCGCCGTCGCTAATGCCGCCAAAGCAGCTAACGGTGACGACGGCGGCGCCGCGGCGGTGGCGGCGGCGGCGGACCCCGCGGCGGCTGTAGCGCGCCTACGCCGTGCTGTCTCTGATGCTGCGGCTTGGGAGACGGGTTTGTCCTCGGACTTGCAGCTTCTAAAACGGTTTTGTGACAATAACGAGGAAGTGGAGTACGACTCAAAGACTTACAAATCCCAGTAAGGAAGTGATTGCTGCTGCTAAATGCTACTGCTGCTGACGGTCTGGAAGTGGCGGTGGTTTAGGGTGGTAAGGGGAGAGATGTAGGCGGACTTTCGATTACAGTCATCGTGTTGCCGATGAACTGTAGCTTTGGCTTCCTTCCCTGCCTGCGAGTTCTTTTCGCCCTCCTTTTTTACCTTTTTTGCTTATCCTCATTGTATTGAAGTTGCATGACAAGTTGTGTCGCCCAATCTGTCGCGTTGTGGTGTCGCCAGGAGGTCCAATTGCAGATTGTAGGTTTTCCCACCCGCCCACCCCGCATGCCTGTCGGCTCCTCATCCCGCTCCATTCCCGTTTTCCTTCATTCTACATCCCCCCTCCATCCCTCCATCCCCCCTCTCCCGGACTGTCACCCCCCACAACCAGTAACCCTCCCCTTCCCCCCTTCTACTGAACTTGGACCGAAGTCTTCCCGGCCGTCTTCAAGAATCACTGCCTTTTGACCTCTCTCCCCACACCCCTCTCTCCCCACACCCCTCTCTCCCCACACCCCTCTCTCCCCACACCCCTCTCTCCCCACACCCCTCTCTCCCCACACCCCTCTCTCCCCACACCCCTCTCTCCCCACAGGCTGGAGCAATGCTCCGATATGAACCTCCGAGTCGTTCGCATTCCGAATCCCGCTCCTGGACTTGAAGCCCTGGTGCTGCTCACTACGGCCCGGGGCGGCAGTAGCAGTAGCAGCAGCAGCCGGGGCAAGGTTTCTCTGCTGGTGAAGGTCAGGAAGCACTGGTCAGCGCTGCGGACGCTGATATCCGGGAAGCAGGGAGAGGGGGGGAAAGAAGAAGTAGCAGCTGCGGAGGGGGCGGAGAAGGACGGCGGCGGTGCTGTTGTTGTTAAGAAGCGCAGGGGGAGGCCGACGAAAGCCGCAGCAGCAGCGGCAGCGGCGGCAGCAGCTGCGGCAGCAGCAGCGGCGGCGAAGGAGGCTGGCGGCCCACCGCGGCTTGACTTCCTGCCATGGTTCCCGAGTGGTCGGGAACCGGAGGCGTTGATGGCGACTTGGCATGCGCTTGACCCCGCGGGCGAGGTGCTGTCCGCGGCGGACGTGAGGGCGCGTGTGCGTTGCGGCGGCGGCAGCGGCGGCGGCGGTGGTGGGGTGCCCCGTCGCGGCGGCGGCCGACAGCTGCCGAGGTGCGTGCGGGTGGTTGGTGGTTGGTGGCTCCCGGGGTCCTGGGCGGTGGCTCTTAAGAAGCGGCTGGATGGCGGGAGGGGAGTCGTGATGCAGCGGTTGGTCGTTGTGGCAGTTGGAGAGGCTTTCCTGTGGCTCAAGGGCCGTGCGTGGATCCACATCTAGGATTGTGAATCAGCGCCTGCGCATCTCAGTGTTTCCGGCTCTCTCACCCACCGTGGCTCCGGCCTGCCTCCCTGTGCCCCTCTCACAACCCCTTGTTATGGGTCTGGAGGGAAGCGCTGCTGTTGGTGTTTTGCGCTTTTTACGTTACCAGGCTGATGATGATTTCCCCTCCTACTCCGTTTGTATTGCTGATGTTGTTGTTGGTGGTGGTGCTCGCAAAGCAGGCTACAGCCCGACGCCGGCGACAGCAACAGCGGCGGTGGCGGTGGCGGCGACGTCGACGTCGACGTTGAGATGGGGGATGCCGCTGACGAAGCCGGACCGGCGGCGACCGCAGGCACCGCGTCTGTTGGCGTGTACGGGAATCTTGGGGCGCCGCCGGTGGCGTTGACTGTGGTGTTGGACGAGCGACGAGAGGCCTGGCATTCGAAATTGCGTGGCAATGTACTGCAGGTACGTTGGTTGGAATGTGGTGTGTGCGGGTGGGGTGTTGCTACTCGGGGGGGTCGGGGGTTTTGCTTGGGTGGAGGGGCACGGATGTGTTTTGTGGGACGAGTGGGCCGCGGGGGTTATCTGGTGACCTGTGGGAGGGGGAGAGGTAACCGAAGATTGTGTTTGGGTTGTTCGTCTGGGCTCTCTTCAAATCCAGACAGACAGACGCAAGCGCTGTCGACCGTCGGCTGGTTGGTGTTTGGGATGTTCTGGTCCTCGGGCTTGCCTGGTCAACCCCGCTTTCCCCCCGTGGGGGGTTTCTACCACACACACACACACACACACACACTTGTACACGTGTACATACATACACACACGGGCCCCCCTTTCCATACAGTTGCACTCCTGGGTGGTTGCTGGCGAAGGCGCCTCCTCTGGGGCCGTCATCCTCCCCGCGGCCGCCGCAGCCCCAGCCGCTGCTGCCAGGAAAAACGATGGGGAATTGCTGCGCGTGTGTACGGCATTGTCGTACTTGCACAGCAAGTTGTTTTTGCCGGCGCCGTGGAAGCGTATCAAGCGCGGCGGTCGGTCTCTTAGCACCGAGGGCTGTCCAGAGGAGTATGTTGCGCGGGTTTCGGAGCCTGGACCCGGGCTTGCCGAGGAGCTGATGGGACCCATTCCTAACGTGGCCGCACTTTTGGAGGTGAGCTCCCCTCGGCTGGTGGTGGTGGTGGTGGTGGTGGTGAGTGGTGGTGGTAGTGCTAGTGGTCGTGAGTGGATGAGCCGTAACGGGGTTGTAGAGAAAACTCGGTAAGGAGCGAAAAAAATTACAAGAATCGTTGGGTTGGATACATACATACATACATACATACATACATACATACATACATACATACATACGCGACACGCACACGCGCGATGCGCACACGGTTCCGCACGGGTGCGCCCCCCCCTCCCCAGCGGAGGCGAGGCTAAGCCCCGGAGGTCATTCGTTGTTCCGCCGGCTGCAGGAGGTGGCGGACCCCTCGCTTAAGATGCCGCCGCCGCCGCCACCTGAAGTCACCGCTCCGGCGGATGGAGCTGACGGGGCCACGGCCAAAGGAAAGGGTCGTACAGTGAAGGCTGTTAAAGCTACTCGAGCAGCGGAGCCGCCGCTGCTGGCGCTGCCGGCGCCTCCTTCAGCCGCGGCCGCCGCCGCCCTTACGCCACAGGCGATCAGCGAGATGAGCCGACGGCTGGCACCCGCCGTACAGAAGCCTTACATCATGTCTGTCTGCGCCGCCAAGCTGCTTGTTGAGGAGTTGCTGCCGCCGCTCCGCACCCTGACGTCCTTCATGTTGCCTCATCTGGCAACGTCTGCGGTGACTCTGCTGCCGGGCATGAGCGGAGGCCTGGCCACGGAAATGCAGTCCGTGGTATCCGCAATCTACGTGCAGCTGGGCGCGATGGAGGAGTTTATGGCGGAGTGCGCGACTGCGGCGGCGAATGGCGCCGCCTCCGCCGCCGCCTCCGCCTCCGCCGCGTCCAATGGGGCTGGTGAGGGTGCCACCTCCAACGGCGCCAACAACTCCGACAGCAGCGGCGGCGGGACGACGACGTCTTTGGAGCGCCGCTTCCAGACGGTGCAGTCGCAGAGTCGGCAGTTGGCGGCAACTGCCAAAGTCACCGTTAGCAGGTACGGATTGTACGAATGATTCCCTCCTGCCCTCGGGCACCTTCCTGACGCATGACTATTGGTGCTGCCCACGTTTCTCCGTACACATACATTAGGTACGGCATTCACATGGTGAAGTCGGCGGCCGCCGCAAACGCAGCGAATGGTGCGCAGAAGCTGCCGCCGCCGCCGCCGTCGGAGCTGCAGAATGGAGCTCCCAAAGCTGTTTCGGCTGGGAAGGGGGCAGGGGGTGCCAGCGGCGGCGGGGGTAAGTCCGCGGCCGCCGCCACCGCGAATGGCGGCGATGCTTCTGCTGCGGCAGCTCTGCCGCTGTCTGCTACTGCCGCTGGCACTGCTGCTGCTACTGCTAAAGAAAAGAAGGGCGCGGTGGCCGCGAAGGCCAGTAAGGGCGCTCGCGGTGTTGATGTCGGCCCTGCAGCCGCCAACAAGGCGGCTACAGCCAGCGGTGCTGCTGCGCTGGATAGAGCCGCGAGCGACGCAGCAGCTGCTGCTGCGGCGGCGGCGATGGCGGCAGTAGTCCCTACTGGTAGGACGAAGGCGGAGGCGGCGAACAAGCCAAGTGGCGGAGCTGCTGCCGCCGGCACTGGTGGGGGCAGCGGCACTAGTGACAGCAGCAACAGCACCAGCAGCACTAGCAGCAGCGGAAGTGGCACCAGCAGCGGAAGCTCCGGCGTCAAGAGTGGTGACGGAAGTGGCGGCGGTAGCGACAAGAAGAGCAGCGGCAGTACGAGCGGTACCACTAGCAGCAGCAGCAGCAGCGGTAGCGGCACCAGCAGCGGTCACACCACGACCAGCAACAGCAGTAGCAGCAGTGGCAGTAGCAGCAGCAGCAGCGGTTCTGATGCAGAACAGCCCGACCAGGATACTGCCATGACGGCGGCGGCGACTGCTGAAGCGGCTGAGGGAGCCCCGACCGAGGCGGCTGACGGAGGCGGCAGCAGTAGCAGCAGCGGCACCACCAGCTCGTCGTCGTCATCATCATCTTCAGAAAGTGACGGCAACACGTCATCCAAGAGCCATGGCGGCACGAGCAGCAGTAGCGGTGGCAGCGGAAGAAGCGATGGAGGCAGTAGCAGCAAGAGTGGCAGCGGTGCCGAGGTTGGTGAGGGCGGCGACGGCGACGGCGGGGAGGGCAGCGACGGCGCTCCCAGCGGCGGAAGCAGTAGCAGCACTGAGTCAACCAGTAGCGACAGTAGCAGTAGCAGCAGCGGCGACACTAGCAGCAGCGGCAGTAGCAGTAGTAGCAGCAGCGATAGCGGTGGTTCAAGCGACGCGGATTCAGGTGCGGAAGGGTTTGCCAGTTGTCGGGGCCCCCCTCTAACCGGCGAGCAAACCCCGATTGCGTTGGGTGTTGGGAGGGTCGGCAGGCGCTCTTGCGTGTTTCGTAGCAGCGGCACCGTAGCGGCCGTGTCGGTTTCAGCTCGACAGCCACGACAGCAGCCTACCGCCCTGTGCTTCTTAAACCGGGCTCGCGATGTACTTCCTGGGTTTGATTCGCTTTCCTCTCGTGCTGTGCTCGCGCACGGCATCCGTCAAGGGCATGTCCCCCTCTCCATCCCACCCCACCCCACTCCGCTCAATATTTACGTCATGCGCAAAACGTAATGGGGCACGATGGCTGTAGTGTAGACTAAAGCATATTTGAGAATGATTATGTTGTGAGTATTATCTTATGTTGCCCGTACATGTTACTGATGGCCATGCATATGGGCATGGGAAAGGTGTGTACGATAGTGTGTACGGATCTCGTACCTGCGGCAGCTCCTAGAACTTACGCGTTGCCGCAGGGCCGCAGGAAGTCCATCGTCATCTGGCGGGAGTGAATAATGATACTGGCAATGATGACGACGTGGCGGGGACGACGGCGTTGGCAATGGCAGTAGCGCATGTCGTCGGGGGTCACGACGGCGGCGATGCTGTGGCGGGCTTCGCTAACAGAGCGCTGGCGGAGGAGCCACTACCCACGTGTACGGCAGATGTGACGTCGCCTCCGGCAGACCCTCTGTCTGCATCACCCGCTGTCGGCGACGGAAATGCCACTGCCGACACCGGCAGTAGCAGCGGCGACGGCGAAGATAGCGATGCTACCGACAGCAGTAGCAGTGACGGTGGGGGCAGTACGGGTGAAGACTCCAGCACCACCAGTAACGACGGCAGTGACGGTGAGGATGACGCTGCAGCTGAAAGCGGCAGTAGCGGCGGAGCCGGCGTTGCTGCGGCCGTAGCTAACGGTGCCACCGCCGGGCCGCCGCAGCCGTCTAAGCCGCTGGAGTTCAGCCGGGGCAGGGTTAATCCCGTCGCCAGCACCGACAGCGGCGGCGGCAGCGACGGCGACAGCAGTAGCAGCAGTGGCGAAGCCAGTAGCAGCAGCCCCGCCAGCAGCAGCCCCGCTAGCAGCAGTGGCGACAGTGGGCGGCCTAAGGACCTTGGCGGTGACCCCGGGCACCCCAGGAGGGTGGCGGAGGTTGCGTTGGCGCGGGAGGTGGACGTCCCGTCGGGCGATATTGGTGGCGCTGGCGACGGCGAAACCACTGCCGTCAGCAGCTCTATCGGTACCGGCGCATCATCAGGCGCCGGGACGACGAGCACATCGGAAGAGGAAGGCGCAGGCGACGTCGCCGCCACCACCACCACTAACCCCGAAACCGCGTCCAAAGACGGTTCGACAGGAACCAATTCCAGCTCCGAAACCAAATCCAGCAGCAGCAGCAGCTCGGATCGCGATTCTTCCGGAAGCAGCAGTGACGGCGGCTCCGGAACCAGTGCCACCTCTGAAGCTGAAAGTACGGATAGCCGCTCTGCGAAGAACGCCGAGTCAGATGATGAGCAGTCCGGTGGTAGCTCCTCCCGGGGTGAGGGTGAGGGTAATAGTGAGGGTGAGGGTGAGGCAGGAAGTGGGAGTGGAGGCGACGGAGCCGTCGGAGCTGACGACGGTCGAGAGGGCAGTGGCGACGGCGGCGGCGGCGGCGCCGACACGGCGGCGGAGGGCTCGACTTCGGACTCCGAGGCGGAGCGGGAGGCGCGGATGGCCGCAGCCGTGGATGCGCTGGAGGCGCGGCCCCTAGACCCCTCTGCGTTTGTAACGCCCAGGCCGACACTGGCGGCGATTGGTGCATTGGGGGAGGACGAGTCGGCGGGCGAGGGGTCTCCCAGCAGCAGTAGCAGTACAGACAGCAGCAGCAGCAGTGACAGTGATGAAAACAGCAGCAGTAGCAGTAGTGAAGGAGGAAGCAGTAGCGATGATGGAGATAGCAGCAGCAACAGCAGCGGCAGCAGGGGAGAAGCTGGCAATGGGGATGGTGCAGATGGTGATGGTGAGGTTAACGATGGTAGCAGTAGCAGCAGCGAGGAGAGCAGCGATAGTAGCAGTAGCAGCAGCAGTAGCAGCGCAGCAGAAAGTGCAGAAGGCGAGGGTGATAGTGATGGGGATGGCGGCGGTGGCGCTAACAGCGGCAGCGCCGGACACATCGAAGGAGGTGATGCAGATGCTGCCTCCGAGAGCCAGCGCACTGGCGGCGACGGAAGCGGTGACAGTGAAGACGGTCGCGGCGATGATAGCGATGATAATAGCGACAGCAGCAGCAGCAGCAGCAGCGGCGGCGGCGGGAGCGATTCTCAATCTGAAACGGATCAGTCGTCACCACCTGCTGGGCAGCAGCCCGAGGCGGAGGTGGAGGCGGCGGCGGCAGCTGCAGCGGAGGATGCGGAGGGAGGTGAGGCGGGCGCTGACGCAGCTGGAGAAGATGCCGCCATGGTTGGTGGCGAAGCTGACGGCGACGGCGGTGACAGCGATGTAACACAGCCGCCGTCACCGAATGCGTCAACGTCCACATCCGAATCTGCTTCGCCACCGCCGAAGGGGCGGCAGCGCAAAGAGCGCGGCAGCGGAGGTGCTGATGCATTGCCGGCTTGCGGTGCTGGTGCTGGTCCTGGTGGTGTTGTTGATCGAATAGACGAAGCCGACGGACGCCGTGGCGGCGGCGGTGGCGGTCTTAACGACCCTCCTGCCCCCGCAGCCGATATTAGCGGAAGGTTTGCAAATGCCAGTGGCGACAGCACCACAAGCAATAGCAGTAGCGCAGATGCTGACGAAGCCGCTAGCGGCAGCGAAGGCGGCAATAGCCCCCGTCGCGACGGCGGCAGCGGAGGAGGCCCCTTAATAGGCGCGAGCGGGCGCGGCGATGCGACTGACGGCGGGAGTGGCAGTGCTGACGGCGGCGATGAGGATCAACCTGACGGCGCCGACGGCAATGACGGCGCCGACAAGGCCAGTGAACCAGCTGGCCAGAGCTTGCTACTGCCGTCGTCAACTGCTAACGGCGGAGTGGGTGCGGCAGATGCTGTCGGCGCTGCCGCCGCCTTCATCTTCGCGACGACCGACGGAACCGCGCTCATCTCCTCGGGTACGGCAGCAGATTCAGCCTCCCTCCTCATTGGCATGGGCCGCCGGAGCGGCACACGACGCGGCGGTACTGTGCCGCGGGGCGGGTTGGCGCAGGAGGCGACTCGCGGCGACGCCGTGGCTTCCCCCGACGGAGCGGAGGGTGGGGACGCGGGCGCTGTCATGCGTTCTGCGGGGATCGGCCCCGCTGCCGCATCTGGCGGCAGCGGCGGCGGCGCCGTTGCCGGCGGGCGAGACGGTGGGTGTGGAGAGGATGGTTTCCGCGTGTCTGCCCCCAACGCCGACCCGGGGGTCGGTGTAGTACGGGCGCCTGGAGACCTGAAAGGAGGTGGAGATAAAGAGGAGGAAAAGGAGCTCACCGGCGCCGCCGGTGCTGCCGCCGGCAAGCGTGACCGCCGTCAGGGCGCCCTATCCTCTCAGCCGGAGACGACCTCCGGGTTGCCCCCCGGGCCATCCCGGGGCCGTAAGCGCAAAGTCATGCCGCAGACGGCCGCTATCGAAGGCCCTCCTTCCAAGGCTGTAAAACCAGGCGGCGCCCCCACCGCCGCCGTCACGGATGGCGCTGCCGACGCCGTGGCTGCTGTCGCTTCGAAGGGTGCTACAGCCGGCGGAGCGTCTGCTGCTGGGGATGGCGATGCGATGGTCACGGGCGCTGATAGGGCTGTAGCACCTGCCGTGGATACTGCCGCTGCCCGGGGTCGTGACGCTGATCAGGAGGCGGATGCGGACCACGTCGCGGAGGTGGGGTCAAAGCCGCGCCGAGCAAGTAGCCGCGTTGCCGCTAGGAATACCGCCCCTGCAGCCGCGGCCGCCGCAAGCACTGCCGCCGGGCCCCACCTGCGTGGGCCCCAGCAGCAGCAGCAGCAGCAGCAGCCAGAGGGGGATCCTGTCCTTCGCGGGAAGCGGCGTCGCGGCGCACGGGATGCGCCTGCGTCGCAGGAGGAGGCGGTGGTGGCGGTGGCGGTGGCGGCAACTTCTCCAACGGGCCCCGCGCTGGACACTGCGGCCGCTACCGATCCCGTCGACGCCGCCGGTACACAGCAACTTGCTGACGGCGGCGCCACAGTGCGTTCGCAACCTTCGCCTTTCATCCCGGCCAATAAGCGCATCAGGGTGGTGGCGCTGCAATCCCCCCTGGACTCCCCCACCCGGCGCAGCAGCAGGGCACGGAAGCAGCTCGCGGACGAGTACGAGGTGCCGTCGCCGTCGGCGAGCCCGGGAGCTACGGCCGCCGCCACCGCCGTAGCCGCTGCCACCGCCAATAATAAAGACGGCGGCTGCAGCGACAACAACAATCGCGATGGTGACGACCTGACGGCCCCCGGTACGCAAGCACAGGCGCCCGTGAACGACGCCCAGATTCTGCTGCAAAGCCGTCGTGGCGGTTCCGGAGCTGGGTTGACCAAGCGGCTCGTGGCGGCGGCGGCGGCGAGGAAGGGCCGGGGCAAGTCGGAGCTAGGGTCCGTGTCGGGGCTGATGGACGGCTTGCCGGGGGGCGGGTCGCAGGACCAGACACAGAACACAGAAGCAGCAGCTGGTGAAGTAGCAGCGGCACCACCACCGGGGGTGAAGGAGGAGGTGATGGTGGCGGCAGAGGAGGGAAGGGGGCCGAAGGTAGGGTTGGAGGAGGAGGAGGGGATGGAGGGGTTGAGGAGCCGGGAGGTGGACGCTGCGGAAGGATTAGGTGAGGAGCAGGAAACAGGGGAGTCATCGTCGTCGTCATCATCATCATCATCGGAGGAGGAGGAGTCCAGTGGTAGCAAAGGTAGTGGCAGTGGCAGTGGAGATGATTCCTCCGCATCGGATGTGAAGGGGGAGGGGGCGGGCGGCAGTGACAGCGGCGACAGCGGCGGCAGGGGTAGGGCTGGTCGGGGCCGTGGGGGTCGGGGCCGAGGGCGCGGGGGGAGGGGGAGGGGGGGGCGAGGCCGCGGCGGCCGGGGAGCTGAGAGCTCCGGAACCACAGAGGTGCCCAGGGCGGCGGGGGAGGCCGGTGTGGCGGTTCCCAAGGCGTCGGGCCCAGGGCGGGGGAGGGGAAGGGGAAGGGGGAGGGGACGGGCGTCGGCCGCCGCCGCGAAATAGGCGGACAGTGCTACCGGGGTATTAGCATCCTGGGCCGGTGTTGGGTGCGGCAGTTTGGCCCCTACCTACTGACCTACCTACCTACCTTACCCCGCACCCTGCTGATGAGACGCACGATCTGCGTTTTTTGCTTGCTTGATTGCTCAAGATACGATATGAGGTGACACTGGCAAGGCGCTCTGAAAAGACGTGTTAGCCTGGAGGTGGAGGTGGAGGGAGAGTGAAAAAAAGTGTTCTGGTGATTAGAGGCGTATGTATGTATGTATGTCTGGTGTGATGGATGGTTAATGGCGTGTCTCTTGACTGTTCGTGAAATGTGCCGGAGTGGTGGCTGCGCTACGTACCTCCTACCTGCCTGCCAACCAGGTGAATGAAGTTGACGGAGGCTAAACTTGCAACCATCTGACGACGCTGATGAGAACGCTGATGGAGCATTGTTGGAACTGGCTGGGCTTGTTGAAAATTGGATTGCGACGCGCAACTTTCCTCGTCTTCGTGCATGCTGGCGTCTTCAAACTGTACCTATCCGCTTACCTCAGGAGGGGGGATGTTGGGAATGTTTTTGGATAATGCATACTGGATCTAAATATGTTTGCTTGCGCATGATGTGTCTGTATGTGTGTATGCTTTTTAAAGGGGGACATGGTACGGATTTAGTGTGGAGCGGGAGGTATATGTGTGTGTATGTGTATACTGTGCTGAGGTTGGTTTCTCTTGCCCCTTGCTTGTTGCGGCTGAGGCGGTGAGACTCGAATGTCTTTCTGAGAGGCCCTGGCGGGGCAGAAGCTGCGCGACATGTAAAGCTTGTGCTGTCTATTGTACGGCGGTAATGCATTCGCGTGTACTTCCCGGTTAGCAAGTATGTATGTAATATGTACTGCAGGGAGGCAGACAGCTGAACCAGACGGCACTCAGTGACGGTTTTCAGGCGGCCAGGGTAGCGCAGGGGGGGAGGGGATCTCGGAGCGCAGACACAGGTACGCATGTTGGTTGGTACCCAGGTGAGGAGATATTGGCGATACCTCCGCAGCCTGTCTACATGAGCAGCGCTGTATCTTATGATGAACGCTAGCATTTTAGGCCCTTTCATCGAACAAGCTGGAGCCTCTTGGACGGCACGGCATCATTCTCTATAATGACTTCGCAACTGGCCAGGTAAAAATGGTCGACTGCTAACCGCTGTTGATAGCCGCTGGAACGGTGATTAACGGTGCCTTCATACATCTTTTTGTTGTTGATGTTGATGGCTTTGTTTATCAGTAAGGGCAAATTCGATGGCCAGGAGCATTCCGAGCACCGCTGAACAACTGATCTTGCTGCTCCACAACTGACCATTGTCGACTTGCGTTGACATTCGTTGACGTTGGTGTTATTTCCTTTCCAAACGCGAGCCGTGGCCGGCAGCACGCGACGTGAATCTACCTTTGGGACCATATCGTTAACAGCGTAGCTAAAAAAAAGCCAACCGTTAGTGGAATAATTGAAATATTTTGCAGAAAGGTTTGCTCATGGACAATGCGGGATCATTTTTCAAGCTGTGACGTCATGAGGCTTTTCCGAGAAGAAGCGCTCATTCCATATATTGAAAAATACATTTTACAATATATGGGCAGTTACAGGCTTGTATCAGCTTACACTCATTCTCTGTGCCGGTTTATATTAAGCCATTTAACTAAAATTGCTTTACCTTGACAAGTTTTTGAATATAGCCACGGAGTAATTGGTATCGTTGTTTTGCAAAAAAGTTAACTCTGCAAAGCATATTTATCTGCAGCTGTGGCTGGATCGTGTCCTGGCGCACCCATTCCTTGTGAGAAGGCTACTAACAAGCGCCCAACCATGCCCCGAACGTACGCGGAGGTGAGCAATTACGAGGGTAGCCGATCTGTCGAAGACGTTTGCGCGCCACGCGGCTGGTGCCGAAGCGATGATCGCATCCTGCAAACCGAACTGCTGCTGCCTAGCGGCTACAGATACCACTCTCACGCGGCTCTCCGCACCTACATATTATCATCCGGAGGCTGCACCTCTATCTCAGCTAGGGTCGTGTTGTGGCTGGACGGTTCATGCTGTTGGCCCTTCTGTAGCGCACTATCATCCATCCGGGGGTACACCCCTTATTTTTGCCGCGACTTCCGATCCCCTGCAACAATCACCTAAACCAGCCTATCACGATTCGGGGTAGACCTGTCGTAGATAGATGCCCGGAGTTATTAACCCGTGCTCGTGACGGCACTAGCTGGCGGACATGTCTCCACCAACAACAGTACTCGATACGCAGCCGCCCTATGCTACCGGCGGCAGTCGGTGCTTACATGCGCCATACGCCATACGCCAGAGCTCTCACCGTCGATTGAAGTGGATGGAACTTTCCTGGGTGTCGTGGGATAACAACGGTGGGCAGTAATACCAGTTGTTATGTGCCTTGGGAAATGACTAATGCCAGTTTTACTGGTTGTACGGGTAGGTACGACATAACGAATCCGGCACAACAGCTTTTTATTTTGCACAGATGCTTCGGGGTGAATGGTTTCCAAATATGCGATATCTCACATGAAGAGGCCATAATTGGGCTCCCAGCCTGGAGCGGCCCCCTCCGGGTGTCATCTGAAGCGAGTGGGATATAGGTTCGTTCTGCGTAATTTCGTCTTCCGAATCGCTGTCCCTAAAGAAGATAGGGTTAATGTAGGTGGGGGGCCTACCTAGCGTATCAAAAAGACGCGCCCACTTCTCATTTTCGAGATCTATCCTAGTAGCAGCTGGTAAAGCAGCAACCTCACCTGCAGTATCAGCTTTAACTTAATCGGGACCAGCCCCACCTGTACGCTGAGCCGTTTTCGGAGCGCGAACGCGCGGCGCGGGATGGATGGCTTTGCTAGTATGATACACCCTGGCGCAGACACCCGGTACGCGTACCCTTGTGCGAGGCCGAACTTACCTCTTGCGTGAGGTACCTTCAGCGAAGATGTTGTGCAGCGGCGGCCCGCGGGATATTGCGACGTATAGGCTTTGTGGAACTAAGATTGCCCTGTATGAATGTTAGCTAAAGAAAAAAGGAAAGAAAAGGATTTAGCAGGAAGAGAAGCAAAACGAAAACGATGAAAGGCGGGGAATAAGCGTTAGTAGCCAGGTGCTTCCTAACGAAGCTGCTGCTGCTGCTTAAGTCAATATACGTCAGGCTCTGCTGACCAGTGATAAGCTGCACAGTTAGCTTGATGTGTGTGCATAGTGAATACAGAAAGCAGTTGGAGATTAGACAAGTCTGTGTATCCTGTGAAAGCTAAAGAGGGGTTACTCGATTACATCTGATCGAGATTTGAATAAGGGCAGTATAAGGGCCGTATTTGAATAAAGAGTGTCAACTGCTATGACTTCTGTAGGCCTGGCTCGCTGCTCCAGGTCTGCAACCCATTGAATAGCATCGATGTACCGGATCCTGGTTATATCTGAAAGTGGCTCTATGTCCAACCTAATGCCACGAGCCAGTAACCCTATTCCGGCTGGCTCCATGTCCTGGCCGAAAGGTTCGTATAAGTAAGGGTGCTGCAGAAGATGGCTAGGTTCATATGGCGGCGCCCGACCACCGCGGCGATGGAAAGTGTCGTTGCGGACATTAAGATGAGTACGTCCGCTGCCGCCTCTTGGTGGTTTCGAGTTGTTGACACCGCGATATTCCACTGCACGGGCGATTAACGCTTGTAAGGATGAAAAGGTTCTTCGCGAGTACGAAAAGTGTTCGCTACTCACAGAGCAGAGCTCAAAACCTGCTAGCCAGGTGAGCTAAAATGTATCTAACACTTTTTACTAAATCCACAGTATCAGGAAAGTCTTCATCAGTCTCACCTGGAAAACGGATTATAAAATCAGATGAAAGAACTATATCTGACCTTGCTGCTCGGAGTTTATCGATAATTGCAAAATATTCCTTCCTAGTTTAAAAATGAAATAAAGGCCGGCGTGACCAAGCCTAATAAAGACGTAAATTGGTTCGATCAAGCACGTGGGTGTACGTCGCACAGTATCGACTGTAGCAGTATCGTTGGATGAAAGCAAGTCTGGTAAAGAGTAAGATAGGCCAAACTTATGCTTACTGATTCCAAGAAAAGAGCAGCAGCGCCTAACACCGCTGGCCGGAGGCGGCTGGTGTGACCTAGGCTATCCGTAAGGCTGCTGGGGAGAGCAACCCAAGCAGCCCCAAAGCGAAAGAACACCTGTACGTAGCCAACAAACCGAACTTACTTGAATGATGGTTGAGTTTTAAGCCTAAGAAAGGCTTTACGGCTGTGTGGGTTAGGGTGGTGCGGCAAAGACCTGCAGATAGCTACGGGTGCTGACTCGACGGTAAAGCCGTAATACAAAAGGCAATAGCAACCTGCTAGGGGCCAAAGTTCCCTCCAGGCTGCAACAACAGCGATAAGGGTTTTTACCTCACCAACTGAGTATAATAAACCCGGTGTGTCTGTGGGTTACGAACCTTGATCGGTTTGCAAAAGAGTTTGGCTGGATGACAAGAAGATACGTATGACGGTGCAAAGAAAGAAAGGACCGAACAGGAATTGTTGTATAGCTAAAAAAAGATGAACTCTTTAAACATAGAGCCGTAAATCGGCTTCGCCAAGCTCGCTGTCAGACAAATACCGAAGTCCTGCAATCGATCACAGGAGGCCCTTAAGAGATAAGCCTCGAGTACGACCACGACAAATAATTAATTACAGTCAAGTACAATTCCTCAATATGACAAACGCTCGCACAAAGAAAGAAAGGAACGATCTACTTACAAATAGAACACCCCAACGTACGCAAGCAAATCTGTCTTCGCACTTCGTCCTCGAAACGATCAGCGAAGCGAATGTAAGGCGGCGACTGCCAAAACACCTCACTTGACGAACTGACGGGGGGAGGAACGAAGACACGGAGTACGCATATTCACACTGATGCTAACTAAGAGGAAAAGAAAAGACGATAAAATGAATGTGGCGCTAAAATGTCACGTGATAGGGGATAACGAACTTTTCCCCATCAGCTTTCCGCCATGCCCTGACTACACCGTCCCTCATCGGATGCACCATCGCCATGCTAGACGGCAATGCTCTGAAGCACACAGCGGTGGTGACCGGCACTGCCACTCACTACATTACTTGGGCGTTACCCTCGGCTAATTGCTCTCCCGCCTTCAACCAAAGCACTTTGTTCCGAAACAAAGAGGGAGACTGAAGCGAGGCAGGCGTTTGTGACCAGATCTTTCCCCTCCGTCGGCAGATCCCCCTACACGCGGGGTGCGGGAAAGTGAGCCAGCCAGGCGGGGGGGGGTGGGGGTCACCAGGGACCATCCATTAGCAATGTAACGTAACACCAGACCTAACGACCTAACGATCTAACGACCTAGCGCAGAAGGATTCCGGGCGGTGCCCAAACGTCCTGGTCGCCGCCCCCAGCTGTCCCCGGCGGGGCCCATGGGTCGGGCTACAGGCTACGGGCTACAACCCGCTACAACCCGCAGACAGTTACGCCTGCAGTGCGTATATGGATGGTTTAGAATACCTCAGTGTGCACCCCTAGGGAACACATACATACATGGACACACATACATACATTGACATGGACACGCATGGACACGCATACATACATTGACACACACACACACACACACACACTCTCTCTCTGGCACGCGCGCTCAGGTCTCCGACCAGAAAGACATCCGCGTTACCGGTCAGTGTGCAGCTTTCGATGATCACTATTTTGATGTAGGGGGTGTCCAAAGGCGAGATCCGCCACATACGCCATCGCGCGCAACCTCCGAGCCGCCTCCCCTTCAGCTCCCACCGGACACCATAAACACACGGGGAGGTTTCAGAGGGGCGTGATAGACTGATTCAATCGGAGGCAATTGCCGAGTCCAAGCAAAAGGTGTTAAGCATGGATGCCCCCAGTCTGTTCGAAATCCGAAATGTCCGTGCGGACATGGTATACAGACGAGAAGGACGTACGGAGTGGGCAGTCGAGTTTTCAATTTTCAGTTCCATTTTGGGGTTTCAGCCGGTAGCATGGAGAGGAGTGCGGGCTCGCGGTTTTTGATCCTTTCGCTCCAAGGAGGCGGAAAAAAGCACCGAAGTCCGAAAAGCGAACTGTGCGGGCGGGCTGCTGGTAGGGGAGGCCATCCCGGTTGCGGTAGGGGGGCCCCGGTACTACTTACGCGTGGGCTTATCAGCCTGCGGATCGGAGAAGGCCCTTTTTCCACTTGTCGAGTGGCGGCCCTCGCCCGGCCCCCCCATCAAGGCCGGGGAGGGGTGGGTGGGCAGAGTGTTCGTCTTGCTAGCTTAAAGCTAAACAAGCGCGTACGGATGGGGTGCTTTGAAGGGCCCTATGTTCGTTCGTTCCGTCTGCGCCCACCATGGCTGTGAGAAGTTTGGGGGCCTGGTGCCCTACTTGGAGCTCTGTCACTAACCACCAAGATACGGCAACCCGTCAACCGCCAACTGGCAACGGTTAACTGGCAACGGTGCAAAGCCATGTAGCTATACGTGTCCTGTGCGCCAGCAGGATGTCGCCATCGGTGCTTTGGTGTATCGACTCAAACGCCAATGAGTACTGCTGCATGGATGCTGAGTGAGGCAGTGGGCCTACGTTTGTTTACACGCGCCGCGTGCCGCCGCGTGCGGGTTTCACTCACTCGGTCACTCCACACCAGCCCGTGGGGGACCTCAACCCCCCGGGGGACCTAACCCCGCCGCCAAACCCTTCCAAATGATTGCCCCACAGGAGATGTCGTACATTCGGCAGCTAGGGCCCGTGTCGTACGAGGTGAAGGAGGGGTTCGTACCCGGTATGCGTGTGCCGGGTGTCGTGTACGTCAACAACGCGCTCAAGGGTCTTATCTTTGAGGAGCTCCAACAGGCTGTACAGCGCGGCGATGTGAGTGTACGGCAAGCGGGAATCTTTTGGTGACGGTTCGGTGGTGGCAGTTGTTATGGTTGTGGGCTGAGCCAGTGGACGAGAAGATCTGGAGCCAGTGGTTTTCTGTGTCCTCTTTTTTACCCTCATCCCTTAAGAGTCCATGTACGTTGCTCGGATTGCTGATCCGACCACCCATAACCGCCTTAACCACCTTAACCACCTTAACCGGTAATAACTGACCCTTACAGCATGGCGGATTCCTTCCGGCAGTTAAGCAGTTGGCCAACGTGGCGGCCCTCCCTGGCATTGTCAAGGTGGGGATCGGACGGAGGGGGCGGGGGGCCCTGGGGCAGGGCAGCGAAAGAGGGTGTGTGTATGTATGCATGTATGTGTGCGTGTGTGGACAACTGAGGGAGCGAGAACTGAGGGAGTGATTGGCGGTGAACTGTGTCTTTAATGGTGCAGTCATTGCCCCCATTGCACCCGGGTTTCCCCGCACCCGGACATGCAAGTGTACCTCTTTACATGCACACACACACACACACACACACACACACACACACACACACACACACACACACACACACACACACACACACACACACACACACACACACACACACACACACACGCACACACGCACGCACGCCCAATCCGAACTCCTCCCGAACTCTCCCCCAATATCTCTCCGCAGCGGTCCATCGCCTTGCCCGACGTGCATTCGGGGTACGGCTTCGCAAGTAAGTCGTACGGCAGCGTTACGCGGAGGTGTACATGTGTGTGTTTTGTTGTTGGGGAGTGGGGGGAAAGATGGTGGCGGGTGGCGACCCAGTGGGGTGTGGCGGTGGAGGGACGGGGACCCCGCGCATGTTGTTTGTTGGTTTGTTGGTTTGTTGGTTTGTTGGTTTGTTGGTTTGTTAGTTTGTTGGTTTGTTGGTTTGTTGGTTTGTTGGTTTGTTTGTTGGTTGGTTGGTTAGTCCGTATGTGGGGCTGCAGTAAACACAAAGTTGAGCTGGAGGGGTAGGGGGCGATTGTTGTGGTGAGTGGAGTTGTCGCCTCCCTAACTAACGGAATGGACATATCGCTATTGATGACAACGCCCCCTCTACCTTCTTCCTTCCCTCCCTCCCTCCCTCCCTGCCTTCCTCCTCCTCCACCACCACAACGCAGTCGGCAATGTGGCCGCATTCGACATGGATAACCCCGAGGTGGGGTCTGGGGGATTTGGATTGGGGGTTGGGGGTTGGGGGTTGGGGGTTGGGGTCTGGGGGGTTGGGGGTTGGGGGTTGGGGTCTGGGGGGTTGGGGGTTGGGGGTTGGGGTCTGGGGGGTGCGGGGCGGGGGCTGGGGTAGCACGACAATAGATACAAAGTGGTTCAGAGGATGGTTGCAGCAAACAGTCGTACACGGCACATCCCTATCCTAGGATCCGGATTTTAACCCACCTTTGCCGCCATGTCCACAAGATGTAGGTAGATCCAGATTCCGATCCGGATTTCCCCACATTTATCCGACCCCCCCCCTCCCCTCCCCTCTCCCCCCCACCACAGGCCGTTGTCTCCCCCGGGGGCGTTGGGTTCGGTGAGTTGTGCGACCACCACCGGGTCACCAACGGGCGAGTGTAGGTGCCGTTCCCCCTTTCCCCCCTTTCCCCCTTTGGCATGACATCATCCCAGGGACGGCGCCTTCACTACCCAGCCGACTGGTCAGTCCTGCTTCCTGCATATCGCCGCAGCACTCTTTCCTTGGCAGCAGCTTCACTCGCGCGTAGTTTATCTTTCCCCCTTTGGTGCGACCCACCAGTCTGTGTATTTGTGTATTTATGGCACTATGTTCGCGCTGAGTACAAAATTGGATCAGCTAAAGCTGTTTGCCCCAGATGCGAGAATGAGGTGTTTGGATACGCAGGTACGAGCAATACTGTTGTACGGTTGTCAAGCGTGGGGCCCGTTTACGTTGGCTGAAGTCTTGGACAGGCTCAGGAGGCGGAGTGACGCGAGTAACCTTGCAGAGGGGCCCTTCGAGGCCCTCCGTGTGAAGGACGGAGCGGTGCAGCACCCCCAAGACCATGTAACACACATACATACACACATACACACATACACACATACATACACACTTACATACATACACACATACATACACACATACACACCCCAAGACAACCTGATTGCCCCATTCCCACCTTCCCCCCTCCACCTTAGATATCAACTGCGGTGTACGGCTTATCCGTACAAACCTAACTGAAGCGGATGTCGCCCCCGTGCGAGAGCAGCTGGCTCAGGCCCTCTTCGACCACATTCCCGTGGGCGTGGGGTCGCAGGTGAGCGGGTGGGGGGAGGTGGGGGGGCGTGATGAAGGGGGGGAATGAAGGGGCCATGAAGATAATGAAATTGATATTTTCTCGCCCCCCTCAATTTCCCATACATAGCGCGTGTACGTATGTATGTATGCATGCATGCATGCATGGGTGTGCTGTATCTCTCACCCATCTCCCCCTTCCTCCCAGCCTGCGACCCGGCCCTGGTGCCGGTGTGTGTAAGGCCCTCTTTCCGGGTACGATAATACACATCCCCCCCTACCCCGGAATCGATTCCCCCCAATCCTTGGTTTGTTGTGATTTCCCCCATCGCGACCAACACCACCGCCACCGCAGGGCATCATCCCCACCACTGCCAAGGACATGGAGGTGCGAGGGGTTCGGGGCGCCGAGGGGGCAGGTTCGTTTGTAAGTTATGAGAAACAGGAAATGAAGTACGGCTTTGTACAATCTGTACGGAACATCAGCAACCCCACCACGACACTTTGGGGAGGAATCCTTAGGTCTGTAGCCCTAGTCGGAATTTAAATCGTTGCAAACCCAACTAAAACCTAACTAAAACCCAACTAAAACTTCTGCCGCCAGTCCGCTCTGGAGCTGGGAATGGATTGGTCTCTGCGGGAGGGCTACGCCTGGGCTGAGGATAAGGAGCACTGTGAGGAGTACGGCAGGATGCTAAATGCGGGTACGGCAATGGGGGAATGTGTTCCTTCTCTTGGATTGGTGTGGAATGGGGGGAGGGAGGGAACGGGGGCTGGGGGGAAACGCAGAATGGCGGGATGGTGGGAGGATTTGTGGATAGCGGTGTGTGTGTATGTGTGTGTGTGTGTATGTGCACAGGCTGGTTGATGGGAAATGGGGTTCCCTTCCTGGCCACCCCTCCTCCCCGCTCCCTTCCCTCCTCAGCTGTCAATCCTCCGCAACTAAATCCCCTTTCCCCCCTTTTCCCCCACCCCCAAAAACACCTCAAAACACACACACACACACACACACACACACACACACACACACACACACACTCAGACCCGCGGCACGTGAGCTCCCGCGCCAAGAAGCGGGGGCTGCCCCAGATGGGCACTCTGGGGGCGGGGAACCACTACGCGGAAGTGCAGGTAGGTGTGTATGTACGTATGTATGTATGTCCAGGGGTGTGTTTTTGTGGGGGTTAGGAATGAAATGGAAACGGGGGAACAGGCGCTGAGATTGGGGCAGGGACAACATCCGCCAGTTGGCTTGGTTTGGGATTGGGGGCTGAGGAACTCGCCCCGGAGCCCCCGGGCTCAGTCCTGGCCCTACAGCGCCCCCGCTTACTTCTACCCCCGCTTTTGACGTCATTTTACTTTTCTCATCATCTACACCTTTGTCAGTCCCCCTTCTCCCCCCCTTTCGTCCCCCCCCCACAGGTGGTGGATGAGGTGCTGGACCCGGTGGCTGCCCGGCGTATGGGTATCGACACGAAGGGCCAGGTGGTGGTCATGATACACAGCGGCAGCAGGGGACTGGGACACCAGGTACGGCAATTAGAGTAAATACAAAGTGCCGTACGTACGGTACTAAAAATACGGCAACGTGTGGGGAGGCGCTCTGTATATCAAGGCATATTGACAGTGATCGTAGCCGTCCGTACATAGGATGACGATGACGATGATGATGATGCCGCATGTACGTACGGAAAGGGGACGAGGAAAGAGAAAAGAGAAAATGGGCTTCATGGCGTTCGTGGTGGTGGTAACTCGTGGTGGGGAGGGCGCGGAGGGGGGAGGGGGAGGGCGGGGGAGGGGGGGGAAAGGGGGAGGGGAGGGGGGAGGGGGAGGGCGGGGGAGGGGGGGGAAAGGGGGAGGGGAGGGGAGAGGGGGGGAAAAGGGGGATTGACGCCCGGAGGTGAGCTGCCTGCCTGCCGCAACACCGCCACAACTGTCAACTGCAACCGCAACCGCCAGGTCGGTTATGCAGCTAAACATACCACACGGTACACGATATACATACGGTACAACCTTCTAACTAACTGTATCTTCACCTGCCCCCAATCCCCCGGGTGCTGTGTTTTCCTGACTCCCTTCCCCCCCGGTTTCCCCCCCCTGCCAAACCCTAGGTAGCGACCGACGCGCTCGTGGCCATGGAGAGGGCCATGGCGCGAGACGGCATCGTCACTAACGACCGGTACGGCAGCCGTACGGACAGTAGTCGATTTTTTTCCGGCGCAGTCCGCAAATCGTACCGTATTTCCCCCTAAGGGAGGGGAGGGGGTGGGCAAATGGCAGTAACCCCCCGTTACCCCCCTCCCCCCTTCCTCGCCTCAAACCCCTATTCGTTGGAATTTGAACGTCGGCAGTGTTTTTTTTGTGTGTTTTTGTGTGGAGGGGGAGTTCCGTTCGCCCCAATGGGCTTTTGATTCCCCGTTCCACCTCCCCCAGGGGGCTCCCCCAGCGGGGTGGCCCTGGGTTAGGAAGTACCCCCTCCCCCCCTGGCAGCAGCTTCACTCGTTCGTGGTTCGTCTTTCCCCCCTGTCACCTCCCTCTTTCCCTTTTGGACTCAGTGCTGCCCCACGGCCCCCCACATCCCCCCATCCCCGCACATACATACACACATACATACATACATACACACACACCAGCCAGTTGGCTTGTGCCCGCATCGGCAGCGCGGAGGGCCAGTCGTACTTGGCAGCCATGGCGTGCGCGGCCAACTACGCGTGGGTGAACAGAAGCAGCATGACGTTCCTGGCGCGACAGGTACGACAGCCGGTGTACGTCTGTTTGTATGCGTGTTGTATTCTCTGTGTGTGTATTCAGTTGTTTTGGGAGTTAAGGGTAAGGGAAGTGGGCTTTGAATGCGCACTCTAAAGCCGTAACTCACAGACATACAGACACATCACCGGAGTCAAAGCGTCGCGTCATACGATTGTAGCATCGACAAAACATATCATTTTCTCAATATGACAAATGCTCACACAAGAACGAAAGGAATGACCAGCAAGTAGAACATCTCAACGTACGTAAACAAATCTGTCTTCGCACTTCGTCCTCGAAACGATCAGCGAAGCGAATGTAAGGCGGCGTTTTCCACCTCACCACCACCTCACCACCACCACACCACCACCACCACCACCACCAAGAAATACCCCTTCCCCTCCCCTTCACTCCCCTCCGAAAAGGCCTTCGCCAAGCTCTTCAAGAGCACTCCGGACGATTTGGACATGCACGTGGTGTACGACGTCAGTCACAACATCGCCAAGGTACGGCGTGTGTACGGCACGTCGGGTAGGGTGCATGTAAAGTCACCGTGGAGGGCCATAACCCTTTTCACCCTTCCCTTCCCCGACACACATCACATGACGACGGGTGATCGCCGTTACCTGTCTGTATGTCTGTCTATATGTCTGTCTGTCTGCATGCCTGGTAAGTCACTATGTGTTCTTCCTTTAAAGCTGTTGAGGAGGAAGTAAAGCGTCCGTCGCCCCTGGATCCTTGCCCTTTTTAATATATATATTATTATATTATATATATGATATATTAATGTATATCAATGTATATTAACCTATTACCAATTTATATTAATATACATTAATACATATTCGTATATATTTAGTAAACATTAATAAATAAATCCCATTAAGTAAACACACATTCTTACAAACCATACGCCGCACATACACCCTTGCTTCTGTTTTCCCCGGCCGAAACACACACACGCACACCCGTACACACACACACACACACACACACACACACACACGTACATGGCCTTGTCGTCAGGTCGAGCAGCACCTGGTGGACGGCAAGTATATGCGGTTGCTCGTACACCGGAAGGGCTCCACCCGCGCCTTCCCCCCCCATCACCCGCTCATACCCGTGGACTACCAACTAATCGGACAGCCCGTACTGGTGGGGGGGACCATGGGTACGGCGTCGTACGTGCTTACGGGTACGGAGCAGGGTTTCAAGGAGACTTTCGGATCCACGTGCCATGGCGCTGGTGAGAGGTGTGGGGTTGGTTATGGGTGCATGTGTATGTATGCATGTATGTATGTGTTTATGTGTATATAACATATCCAAGAGAAGGGGGACTGGAGAGAGGTTGGGGTTTCAGGTCTTCACGATTATTAGTTTCGGAGGAGTACTTTTTAATAACCGATTATGGAGCTTTTAAATGTCAGGTTTTGTTTGTATACATGTGCAGCGAGGGGGTTATGTTGACCGGGGAGTTAATCGCAAATGGGGGGAAAAGGGGGCGGAGTAAGGGTTAAGGAGGCTGCTTGTGGGCCCTCCTTTCCCACCGTCTCCCCGTCCCCCTACCCGCCTTCCGCTCAGCCTCCGGCACGGCCACCGGCCCCACCTGCATGCTGCACCTCACCTCTTTCCCCCTACCCCTAAAACCCTAAAACCTCCTCCACCTCGTCGCCGCCCAGGTCGAGCTCGCAGTCGCAACAGCTCCCGTAACAAACTGGACTATCAGCAAGTACTGGACAACCTCAAGGTGGGGCTGGGGGGGAGGGTGCGTGTTGAAAATGTGCGGGAGAGGGGTTAGGGAGGGGGAGGGAGGGAGGGAGGACGACGTACGGACGTACGGACGTACGGACGTACGGAGCCAGTGAGGGGGCGGTAGGCCGGACGGAAGGGGGCTGTGTGATACATACCTACATACCTACATACGCAACCCCACTCTCCTCCGTCGCTGCTCAGTTCTATACAACAGCATATCCTTCCCTCCCCTCCCTCCTTCCCTTTTCCTCTTCTCCTTATCGCCTTCACCGTCGCCACTACCCTTCCCCCCTCCCCCCCTTCCCCCCCAGGCCAAGGGTATTTCCATCCGCGTGGCCTCCCCCAAGCTGGTGATGGAGGAGGCCCCGGAGAGCTACAAGGACGTCTGTGCGGTGGTGGACACCTGCCACGAGGCGGGCATCAGCAAGAAGGCGGTCAAGTTGCGACCCATCGCCGTCATCAAGGGGTGAAACAGCCCCCGGGTGGGGACAGTTATGAAAGGACGATTATAGATGATGGTGGGGTGGGGTGGGGCGGGCCCCACAACGGATAGGAGGGGCAGCGCGAGCAGAGGTGGTTGAGGAGGTGGTTGAGGTGGTTGAGGAGGTTGAGGAGGAAAGGAAAGGTTGCTGAGATGAGCTGTTGGTTGCCGCTGGCGACTTATCTTAGCTGAGTGCGGGTTCCAGCTTATTAGCTGGGACTGAGAGCTGTTGGCTGCTGGAGAAGTACGAGCGGCTGCCGGACGAGGCGGAGATGGCTGCACAGCGCGTGGTTGCGACAGCAGCTGCAGTAGCAGCAGTAGCAGTAGCAGTAACAGCGGCGGCGGCGGCACAACAAGCAACGTCTTGTTTTGAAGGTGATGAAAAAGGAGAGGACAGGAGAAAACGGAGGAATATGGAGGGGGCAAGAAGAGCTGGGCCAGTCGTTTGTCCCGAGCTGTATGTATGGGTTTTGCTGTTGCGACGGCTGGAGTGGGACGGGGAAGATTAGAATGTCCGTAGGATGGCGAGAGATGGCGAGAGATGGCGGGAAGGAGGAGATGAGGGAGGGGCCGCCGGGGGGGCGGCGTGAAGGGACGTTTCTTCGTTCTAAGGCAGGCTTCCATACTACTTTCCGACTGACAAGGAAGTATCTCGAGTGGCTATCATTGATTCAATGGCACTTAAGATTGTTTTCCGTGCGGTTACGCGGCATTGCGATATCGTACATAATTTCGTTTCTTCTGTTGCAGGGTCGTACAGCGAAGGAGGATGCCTCATGCAGTCTTGCGGTGGCAGTGCGCGTGCTGGTTTTTTTGTGTTTGTGTGTGCATTACTGACATCATCATCATCGACACCGCAGGCATTTTGCCGCCTTCTCGTCCCTGCACGTGGTGGTGGCCGTGGGTGTGCATGACGTGTAGATATTGGAGTGGAGAGTCTTACCAAGCTTTATAAAGCTAGCGAAGATGCTGTTGGCAGAGTTGTTGTTTGGTTGGTGTGTTTGTGTCGTGTGCAGGAAGAAGAACATGAAATGCGCCTCCTGGCGTTGCAATTAGTTGGTTCGTTGTTAACAGCTTTTAATGAATCTTTCCTCCTGTAAAAACGTCCAGCACACGGATCCAGCACAGCCACCGCCACCATCCTGCTGCTGCTGCAAGCCCCACTCCGCGACGACAACCTGACTGAGGACGCCCAGGTCCCGCGGTTAGCTGCCAACGTGCCCACCACCACGAGGAATTCCCGCCTCTACCGGGCTCACCCCGAGCACGTCGCACGTAACGTCGCGGGAAGTATGTTTGTATGTCTGTATCGAGGGGTGGAAGGGGTGAGGTTTGGTATGCATGGTGGGAGCGTCGATGGCACCTCGCGCGACCCTCTTTGGGCCATCTTGTAAGGATATACATACAGATGTGCGCTAACGAACGTCGGGTTTGGGGGCTGAAATGCTTCAGATTTCGATGCCTGCCGCTGTAGGCGCGTCTGCGGGGAGTTGGTCCAAGTCATAAACGAGGAAGACAAGTTTCCTAGCAGCCAGTTCGGCACAAGGTCCCGGCCCCCTCCCAACCCCCCTCCAAACCCTCCCAGCTCCCACCCTCTCCTAAAGCATCCCCAGCCCGACAGCGCAAAGTCCGGTTCCCGAGTACAACCCCCCACCGCATGAAAGCTCAACACGCAGGTACCCCCCTCCCCGGCCCCTTCCCCGAATGCGGATACCTAGATGGGGATGCATGTGGATGCTCATATGCTCCCAAACCGGCCCTCCTAATCCCCAACCTCGCTATCCTCGCTAGCCGAGGAAAATAACCCAATACGTCGTACAAGGATACTTACAAGTAGTCTAGAGGAGGGGATGAAGCGATAAACAGGCGGCGTACGCGCCCGGTAGCCGTCAAACCACACGTTTTATTAATTATAAGGCAGGCTCTCCTACTCTTTCTTTAAGCAGGGGGTGTCTAGCCGCCCAGCCGCTCAGCCGGCAGCACCAATGGCGACCACCAGCAACAGAGGCGAAGACAGTCAGGCACGGCGGAGCAAGGTGCGTGTCAAGCGGTAGCAGAAAATTCAGTGGATGACAACAACCACAATGCTAGCTGCTGGGCTGAGCTGGGCTGGTCGTGACCCTGCGCCGGCTGCGAGATTGGGGACCAAGCCCCGCTCGTCTCATCTTCTGTCACATCAGCAAAGGCACAGCACTTGGACACTTTCGGGAAGCAGGGCATGACCAAACCGGAACCACAATCCTATCCTAACCATATCAATCGATCAGTGTGGGACTCGAACCCATGGGAGTCCCCGTGGGGCGGACCGGGGGGCCCCCATGTCACAGGAAGGGTACGCAGTCAGACACATTCACCCACACAGCCATCATTGCATCACAACCTTGCCCGCCGCATCCATCATTAATCGCCTAGCCGTTCTGGATCAGCTGTAGGGAGTGCTTTATATGATTCTGGACGCCGTACCTCATGCACGAATCTACGTTTTGAACTTGTCTCGCTACATGATTTTCCCTTTAACAAAAACCCGTCCCGTGGACAGCCACGGGAGGCATACCCGTGCTTCAATTGGCCACCTTGCTTGCTTGGGGGGGAGTACGTGTCGCAGAACTGAATCCCCAAATGCACGTAATCAGGGTCCACATCTGTACTCGACACTTCTACACCTTGTAGTAGTATAAGACGGATTTCTGGTATTGTCAGTAAAGGACTCACAGGCTGACGGCACAGACCCGTATCAGTCGGGATACGCCCAGACGTGACGGCAATGCAAACCCGCACGCCTTCCACGGGGCTGTTCAGTAACGCCAATTACTGCGGTATCTCCTAAGTTTTCAGCCTCCAGCGCATTATGTAATATGCCTGGGGCCCTTTCTCTTGCCCCCCTCTCCATCTGTAAACGTTGTGCCTTCTTCCTGTAGATTTGTAAGTAAAATGAATCGACCCTTCGTACTACCCGTACTCCAATTCATAGGGCCCTGACTTCCTGACCACACAAATCTAATAGCTACTGGACTGGCGATCATTTTCATTACCATCCATCACTGCCATCGTCACTGCCATCACTGCCACTGCCACTGCCACTGCCACTGCCACTGCCACTGCCACTGCCACTGCCACTGCCACTGCCACTGCCACTGCCAGGCATATCCTTGGGTGCTACTGCCAGCTGCGAGTTGAGTTCCTGGATGAAGTCCGCAAGGCTCCGAAGCACCTCAGCCGCCGCGCTCCGAGTACCTGCAGGCTCGCACTCGCTGTCGACATCGCTGCCACTGCCGCTGCCTTCGGGAGCCTCCTGCAGCAACTGCGCCAGCTGCGAGTCCAGCTCCGGAACTGTACCTATGTGTGTTCGGGGGGGTAAGGGGAAAGCGCACGGTGGAATACCACAATACATACATGCATACATGCATGCACACATGCCTAAACCGTGCAAAACGCGCAAATTCACTACCTGTGATCTCCGTGTGCTTCCCGCCCGTGTTTTCCTCCACCTCCACCACACTAAGTTTGAGGCGCAGAGGGCGACCTGAAGCGCGGTCCTGAAGCGTCCAGGGGCCGGGGGCGGAGCCGGGGGAATAGGGAGGTAGGGGGGGAGGGGGGTAAGAAAGGGAAGGTGAATGGCTGGTGATGGATGATTCGTGTATGGGGGTTTATCGGCATTTTACAAGAGAAAATGAGTAATAATACGCGCACACATACATGCAACCTTTCCCCGCCGATGCATTCCCACCAGTGTTTTTTTTTAAGTAATATATTCCTTTTAAGGAATAAAGAGGCCATTTTGGCCTTTGGAAATAAGGAACAAATTGAGGCCGATCCGTACATTTTCATTCCTCCAGCCAAAAACGTCCATTGCTGCCAGATTGCTCCGTAGTGTGCGGAACTTAGTATTATCGATCATAGAATAGATATGAGGGGCCGTAAGAAGGTCAAGCCCGTGAGTCAACGCGGCATAGCAGAATGTATGACCGGTCCTTACATAGCCAAACACGCAAAAGGCAACTTGAACGCCGAACAAACACCAAAACAGCAAGATAAGCCTGAATTTTTTCCTGATAAAGGCGTTTGGGACGGCGGTGCTGTTGTCGGTAATGCATCGGCAATGGTGTTGCTGCCAGCGGCGACCGATGACACGGGCGCCATTACCCCTGCCTTCCATGGCGGTTGTGATCAGCATAAGCGCAAGCTGTCACCCAAGCAGCTCGACAACAACGAATGCGGCGAGGCGCCCAACCCGAGCGCTCGCAGTGCCAAGCGGGCTCAGACACAGCGCATCCGCAAGGGCATGAGCGATGGTGCATGGCGGGACAAGCAGAAAGAAAATCCCCACAGATGGCAGACAAAACGCGCCAACGCAGTGCGTGCCTCTTGGTCTATGAGGGTAGTTGTAACTTACCGGGGGGGGTCTGGGGGGGGCGTAGCCCCCCCCAGTGCCCCACTCTTAAGGAATACATTACGGCGACGCTAGCAACTTTGTTACTTAGGTCGGAATAAATTGAGACCCCCCCTAAATGAAAAAAAAATCACTGATTCCCACTTCAGTCACACGGTGCTACAGTCGTATGACGCGACACCCCAGCCGTCCACCCTCACTCACTCACTCACTGCAGAACTGCAGTGCTGCACACTCGCTGAGGGCGGCCAGGGTCAAACCCTACCACTCATCCACCGACCCACGTACGCACCAACGGACCCATCACACACCTAAACGCTAACGAACCATTTAACGAACCCACCCAGAAGGTCCCCTCGTAAACGTGCTTGGTCTTCCTGCGCGCCACATCCAGCCGCGTGTTGCTGCCCCGGGGTAGCAGCTCTCCGGCGGCGGCGGCGCTGGTGGCGGCGGTGTATCCCACGTCGTTGCACCTGGCCACGATGCGAGCCGCAACAGAAGAAGCCTTGGCGTCCTGAACACAACAGCAGTAACAGTAGCAATAGCAATAGCAACAGCAGCATTATCAATAGCAGCAGCAGCAGTAGAAATAGCGGAGTGCAGTAGCAGTAGCAGTAGCAGCAGTGGCACACACACATCTGACTGCCGTACCCAGATCGCACCACGCACGCGTCCCCCCCCAGGGGATAGGATCGGGAGTACCCCGGGCGCCCCACCCCCACCCTCCCCACCCCCCACCCCCACCCCCACCCACCCCACCACCATCGGGGCACAGTCACGATACCTGATCTTGTGAAACTTGAATTGCGACAAAGCAACAAAAGTACAAAACTTCCCCCAGCGGCCCCACTACGGTGCTTCCTCGTTCCCTCGAGGTAAGGGTAGCACAAGCGGTACAGGATATCCTACAGTACAAACAGCCACGCGGCTGTTTGTACTGTGCTAACCCACTCAGATTAAGACCCGGTGGAAAAGTTTAGTTAACGAACTTTAACGCAGAGCTCTTGGCCCACGTCAACCTTCTCCCCCCTGGCCCCCCCCCCCACCTCCAGCTCCCTACGCTGCCCCAGCAACTTCATCCGGAGGTCCAGGCCCTCCCTCCGGCCCCCCTGGAGCTTGACCATGTAGCATCTGGCGGCGGAGGACTTGAGCTTGCGGAGGGACACAAGCGAGCAGCTATTGCCCCCGCCCACACACATACACACATACATATACACACACAGCCACAGCAGCCGCCGTAACCGCCGTAACCACGTAACCGCCGTACACATGAGAAATTGCAGAAGGGGAGTAGTAGTAGAAGAAGTTAAGAAGGGGAAAGAGCTGCCAAAAGAGCATGTTATAGGTAATTTCCATAATAAATAACTTTGATAAAAGGTTTTTATTAATTATATGCCAATATTCATTTCAATGCCGGCACTATCGCGAAACCGTGACGGAGGGAAACCTAAACTGCTAAATGGGCCAACAAAGATGGAGAAAAAATTTGGCTGGTCCCCGACGGGCTCTCAATTGGTGCCATGGCGATGTGGGGGGCTGACGTCAGATGGATTGTCCCGTGGACGAGGGGGTTGCAACGAGGGGGCCATGAGTTGGTGACAGCGGCACCCGGTGCAGTAGCAGCCTCCGGCACTCACCCCGCCTCCTCATCCTCATCTTCGTATGGCAACGTGAGTGCCACCGTGTACTGCACATTGAGCTCTGCATCAATGACGTGCAGGGTGGCGGTGGTCTTGGTGTCCGTCAGGGAGAAGCCCAACACGTCCGTGAGCCAGGAAGTGACCCGCGGGACGGTGGAGGCGGGAACGTAGTTGCTGAACACGGAATTAGACTTGCTTGGGCTATTTTTGAGACCCTGCGGGTCAAGTGGCGGTCAGGTGGTGTACCCGGGTGTGTTTTGGGGGGCATGGAGATGGGTTAAGACGTTTCGTGGTTGACTGTGAGTCGTCGAAACCCAGTGCGCGCTTTTTTTCTAGCGTGTCCTGAATGCGCTATAGCTATCAGCATCTGGCATCTGGCCCAGACAGCCAGCTAGCTAGCTAATGACCGGCCACTTGTCTTTGCGTCCAACAACGAAGCAGGTGGTGTCACAACCCCAAGACAACTGACCAACTGCCAGCAACTGCCAAGCCAACCCGTACCAACCGACCTTGATGTCGTCCAGAGTCAAGTTCTGCATCTTGGCCAGGCCATCCAAGTTATAAAAATACTGTTTTCCTGTCGTACAAAATTATCAATGGGCAGCAGAAGCATGTGGGAGGCGTGGGGTGATGGTGGGGGGTCAACAGGACGGGGGAGGACGGCGAGATGCAGAGCGGCCTCTCCCCCCCTCGCAACACAAAAACAAGACCACCTGGATGGCCGAATGGAACCCCCGGGAACCCCTCCTTGACCACCTGCCAAGCCGTACAAGCATCTAAGATATACGTGCATAAACAGACAAATAGAGACAGATGCACATACATACATCTACGCAAACGTACCGAGGTTGAACCTCATCTTCAGGACGTCAAATCGCGGCGTCTTGCGCGCCGCCTTAAGTGCCGCATCCTCCAGGGTCGCCGCCAACACGCCGTTGTCGAGTCCGGTGGCGGCGGTGTACATAGCGCCTGTGTAGAAAGCGCCTGTGTTGATGCGCCCGGTGCCACCCGTGCCCGACTGAGGGGTTGTGGCAGCATGGTGGTGGTGGCGGCATGTGGCGGAGTACGACGGCAACGACAACGACAACGAGTGCGTGAGAAATATATTGGCGATATTGACAATTCACTCGATCACGTACGCGGGAAACCACCTGGCCTTCGTAGTGATCATCTGAACAGATGCACGACACTGTAGTACAAGCTATGCTTCATTACGTCGCCAATGTTCAAGGTTCAGCAAGTGCTCCTGCTGCACTTCATTGCTGTGACGACTTCCTTCGAGCTTGCTTGCGTACCACCCCCTTGAACTCCCGGCATTTCCTTCCGGTAGCCGCTCAGCTAATAAATACACACACACATATATACATACGCACCGGACCCGCAGGGGCATTCTTGGCTATGGACATGCCGGTCATCAGGCTGGCTATATCGTCTGCCGCCGTACCAAAGCCACCGCGGAGATACTTGCTGCTACTGCTGTTGCTACTGCTGCCTCCAACCCTCCTCCCCGGAGCATCGTCCTGCGCCGTCATGATGTAGAGCTGCTCAGTCCGGCCGGTTTCCAGAGCCGCCTCATCTGTGTACGGCGTCAGCATATCAGCACGCCATCAACATGCCAGCAGTGTATGTCTCGGCCAGTGCCCGCAAGGCATCCTTGGCGCTGGCTGGCGGCTCAGGAATTTCAAATACGGTTGTACGGCTGTACGGCTTTAGCTGGGTGGAGATCAGAGGAGGGGTTTTGGCAATTCCGAACAGCCACCTTAGCGGCCCCCCACTTCCCTCACCTCCTGCAGGAAGAAAACGGACCCGCGGGTCGGTCCCGAAGTCGCCCTCCAGCAGTACATCGTCCACTCGCATGGGATGCCCATAGGCAAGGCTGGCTGCACATGCGGCCGAGGGGTGGAAGAGGAGACCAAGAACCAGTGCAGCGCAGCGCAGTTCATTGCTCCATTGGGGGCCCCGACCGAGGGAAGGTGGCATAGGGCCCTATTTACTACCTCACCGCAAACACCCAACTGCCGTACGTACCCAGTCGTTTATTGGCCTCGATCTGTGCACGCAGCAGTCGTACGGCGGCATCCACTGCGCCGCGGCTCCGTGCCGAAACCACCACGTTGTCCTCCTCGGCGTTCACAATTAGCCGGGCGCCCCCTGACTGTTGCGAGATCCATTTTACATTGCAAGCTTTCTTGCCGATGACTGCTCCCGCGGGTATCGCCCCGCAAAGCTCTACAGTCTCCCGGTATGCCATTTTTTGGTCCCGCGGATCCTGCTTTCACTTTTGACTCGTTCTTTATTTACAAAGCAACTCCCTAGATGACTAAAAGTAGTTTTGCGTCACGCTTAAATAATGTTGTATTTGTTACGTACTCGTGATTTAAATGCTTTATTACAAGCAAAGAACTGTTGATGTAGACGTTGTATTACAAAGTACTCGTGATGTGATGCGAGAACCCGTGATCGAAACCTGTCCAACCTTGTCCGTGAAGTCCAACCGCCGGCAGCTGCAGTGTAACGCCCGCTAACGGGGTACTGTGGCATCGTCCGAGAAGCTTAACATAGTAATTTGAACTCCAGCAAAGATGTGGTTTGTGAAGATGATTTGTGACGGAGTCCTTAAACAGTAAAGTGCGGTAAAGTGCGGTCAGAGAAGGTAACGGAGGTCCGAAGAGTCGAAACTGTGTAAACGAGTGACGACGGTTTGCTGATTCAAAAAAGTTTTTGATGGTTTGACGCGCTGCGACAGTAGCCGCCGCGAAGGAATATTAAACACAAGGCTCCTTAGCACAGCCTGCTACAGCTGTTGGGCGCGGCAAGGAATACAGACGAGACTCCTTCCATTAAAAAAAAACAGTTCCAATGGAAGCAAGGAGAGCCGTCATGTGAAAGCTCTCCCAAACTGTGCCAAAAAGCCCCAACTACAAAACTGATCATATTCATCACCCCCTCTCATCAGCCATCGTCACGAAAACTGGGGGGCTCCGCAGTCCACAGTCCGCACCCACCCAAACCCAATACGGTACGACACACACACACACACACACACACACACACACACGTGACGAGCCATTGTGTGAAAAGGCGACATGCACGAGGAAGAGCGGCTGTCCCGGGGGTTCTCACACCCCGAAATGACGTCCCCGTGGATGAGGGTGGACCTGCCCAACCCAACACAAAACACACACGGTAGGAGATAATGGGGCGCACGCGCACCGCACAACACCCAAACAATCATCATGGAGTCCAGCTGAAACATAAATTTTTTTCTTGATTTGCCACTTCACCTGAGCCACCCGCCCACCCGCACAAATCAACCCAAAAAACCTTTTTGGTCGGCGCCCCTGGGCCCCAATCCCTCCTCCTCAACCTCCTCGGCCCCCTCCATAGTATGCACGTCGAGCCACTTCACCCCATCCAGTGCTATACACGACACCCGCGGGTGGCGTACATCGGTCCAACCCGACCCCTCGCGCCTCCTCTACATACGTTCATAAGCCCCTACTAATCAGTGACCCATATCCGTAAAACCGAAAAAGTTCCTTGGAATGACGAACCCCTAGGTGGTGGTGGTGGTGGTTCCCTCTCGCTTCTACATGGGTGCCCCCGGGGACGTACACCTCCCCTCCTCCTCCTCCACCCACTGACCCCTTAACCCCCCCCCCTCCTGGAGGGTTTTGAGGCGACATTCATTGGTGGTAACCCTGTCGGTGTCTGCCGTAGTTGCATACATACATATACATACATGCATACATACATACATGTGTGTCTTGCGAAGCAACAATCCGGCAGCTGCAATAGCGGGCGGTGTCAAAACCATCAAAGCCACCAAAGCTTCTCCGGAGCAGGCGTAAAACAAGTTGACAATCCACCACCAAAACACCACACGGGAATCTCATAATGGTTGACAAGGTCAACCAATAAAGAAACCCAACCAAACGCGTAAAGTATACAAGCCATCATACATACATACATACCATAACATAAATTTCCTCCCCGGCTAACTCCACCCCACGCCCGTTCACTTTCCTCTTCCTCCTTTCCTCTTCCTCCCCCCCCCTCTCTTCACCTTCACACATCCGCCCCAAACAGCTCCCCCTTGTTGTCCACCATGTTGTACCGGGACCAGTCTCCCGCTATGGGGGCGGCTACCAGGTGGTCGGGGATGCCAAAGGAGGACACCAGCGCCTCACACGCCTGCGGGGACAGCTCCGAAACCGCGGCACGAACCGCCTCCGGAACCGAACGACCCGCCTGCGCGCAGATACATGCAGAGAAACATATGTGCATTGACAGGTATGTAGATAGATAGATAGATAGATAGATAGATAGATGTGTACATGTATGTATGCATGCATGTACGTATGTATGTATGCATGTATGTATGTACGTATGTATGTGCGTTGTGTGGAGGGGAGAATCAAGTGATGCAGGTTGCAAAGAGGATCAACTGCCGACGACTGCCGTCCAACGCACCCCCAACCACTGCGGGGAGTCAAGGCTTGAGTGTACCAGGATGATGACAATTGCATCAAACTGTTCCTTAAAAAGTACTTCCACCTACCCCGCTCCTTCCCCCCCATCTCCATGCTTCATTCATTCGTCAGTAGTTCATCTTACCCCTCCCCCCCTCTCCTCCCCGTTTCCGTTCGCGCACCTTGCCCGGCAGCTCCCCCTCCGCGATGAACCAGGGCAGGTCGCTCTCCACGCAGCGCAGGGCAAACAACCTGGCTACCGCCGTCAACACGGCCGCCACCCCCCCCGACAGAGCCGCCTGGCACTGGGACTGGCACTGGGACTGCTGGTTGCCGGGGAGCTGTCGGCCGCTCAGCGTCCTCAGTAAGGAGTCCATCACCTCGCGCTCGGCAAAGGCATAGGCGGTGGCCTGTTCAGGCAACATAAACCCACACATACACACATACATGGGTTCAGGGTTCGTACATGAAGGGGAAAGGGTAAGGAGATGGTTTGTAACAGCGCAACAAAGTCTCTTTTCTGTCAAACCTCCCCTTCCCCCTCCCCTCTTCCACCCCACCTGCACCAGGTCGCTCTCCCTCTTCATCCAGGTATCAAACGTGGACTCTTGGGCCGTCAGGGCCCCACCCGCCGCAGCGTTGGCGGCGGCCATCGCCGCAGCCAACTGCCGTACAAGCCGGCCCTCCCGTACAGCCAACAGCCGCTGAAGTACGGCAAGATCGCCAAGGACTGCCAGTGCGTTAGCTCCCTGTGGCATTGAACCCATGGCGGAGGATGTCGGGGGAGATCGCGGTGTGGTACGACAGGGTTTGGGTCTAACCGTGTGTTCATGGCTGGAGCTAATGATTTCCGTACGACAGTACGACACTCAGGTTGCACCTCCCACCACGCCCTCACGCGACGGGAGGATGAGAGGTAGAAGCAAAGGAAGAGAATAATAAGTACGGGTCAGTCGATTCCGTGTCTCTGCCGTCAAAACACACACGAATCACGACACGCTCTCTGTCCCCCCTCCTACACGCGCATCATACACACCGTGGGCCCAGCCGCCAGCGCGGCCACGAGTTGCGGCGACAGCGCGGGTGTGGCCGCCCCCGCCACCCTCTCCCTCAGGGAGGGCAGGGACCCCGCCAAACCCAGCAACTCCTTGGCCACCTTCTGCATCAAAACCCTAAGGTTTTGGGGGGAGGGGGTTGGGGGAGGGGGTTGGGGGAGGTACGATGAAGCACAGACGATAGAAGAAGAGAGGGGGAGGGGGTTGGGGGACGGCTGGGAAAGAACGTGGAAGCGGGAAATACACACGCGTGTGCGTGCCGAGGGTGAGAGTGGCGAAAAGAGGCAGGGGGAGAGGGCAGCAAGGGGAGAAGAGGAGTTACAACCGCACCATTGCGCTCCCCGAACAGGGTGGAGGACGAGTGGACTCGGAGCTTTGTCTGCATGCGTATATATGCGCGTGTGTGTGTCTGTCTCTGTGTGTGTGTGTGTGTGTGTGTGTGTTGCACACGTTGGGGGATTATGCGGGCGGAGGGGCACATACACACACACGTAGCTAAGGGCCCATGTCGTATCACCAAGTCATAAACCCGCACGCAGCTCCCGCCGGTATGTGGATACATCATCCTGGGGCATGCGTGTGTGTTTTGTAGTACACAAGACCCACCCACCCACGCACCTGTTATCGCCCTCCGCAGTCATACCCGCGTGGGCGAAACCCAAAATGGACCCAAACCTGTCACCAGTGGGGCGGGGGGGGAGAGAAGGGGGGAATGATGTAGGCTCGGCGGCTTGTGGTGTCGTGTCCGTTTTGCAGTTTCGGGCGTGCTTAAGCTTTCGGGACAGCGTGTGTATGTATGCATGTCGTGCATGTATGTGTCAGACTGGGGCTTGCAGTCCCACCACCTATTCGGGAGGTCTTTGTCAAAGAGAAGTCAACGGCACGCCGGTATGTATGTAAACCGCAGTGAAAAAAATACGGCGTAACGGGCGCGATTTCCTCTCACCCCCAACCGTACCCTTCTTTCATAACTAGGAGTAGCAGGCTTTCTAAAAATCACCCTCAAGTCTTGAGCCTCAACTCGTCTCTGCGCCTCCCCCCAACCTCTCCCCTCTTCCTCCCCGGGGCCCCCCTCCCCTCTTCTTCTTCTTCCCGCCAAAACACACCAACCTGTTGCACGACAGGTAGCCCTGTCCCCCGCACCGCTCCCGGCACACGGTGGCGCACTCCTCAATGTTCCAGGAGCACAGCGGCTTGATGGCGCAACACAGCACCACAACCTCAGTGCTGGTCTGGACGGAGAGCGTGTGCGTGTGTATGTATGTACGTACGTGTGGGTACGTGCATGTGTATGTGTATTCCCAAACGGAGGGAAGGGGAGAAAAGGGGGAAAGGAAGAGGGAGCAGGGGAAGTAAATGCCAAGTCCATAGAGGGGAGGACAACTGCCGGCGTCCAAGATTGCAAACTGCTGGGGAACGGGGGAAGGGGGGAGGACCGGGGGACAAGATGAACCGCGAGCGAGTGAAGCTGCTGCCAGGGAAGAGGGAGCAGCCGGTACTGGGTTTCCGACTCTCTCTATGACCCATACCAAACTGAAATTGGGTTGAGAGGCAGCTAACAACAAGCGACAACCGTTTACCTCTCGCCATCCCCTCCAGGTCATTACACACACACACACAACACATACACACACCTCACCTCTTCCCCCTCACCCACCTCTCCCCCCTCCTCCCCCCCAGCCCGAATCTCCCCCCCCACACGCACCGTGGGGTCAATCGGCTGTCCCGGCACGAACCCGGACGCGGCGGCCCACCGCTCCTTCACGTAGTTCAGACCCACCGCCAGAGCCACCGTACGGGCCAACAGGGGTACGAGCGCCCGCTGCTGCAGCTGGTAGGCCAGGATGGGCGTGTCGGAGCGACCCCCGGGACCCACACACAGCCGACTGGCTGCGTACCTGTGTGTGTGTGTGTGTGTGTGTGTGCGGGCCATAAGTGAAGGGGAGGGGGAGGGGGAGGAAGGGGAGTGAGTGGGTGGGTGTGGGAAAGGACGGGAGAGGCACGCGGGGTTTAACGAACTCCGGCAGTTGGCGGTTTGAATGTCTCGGCAGTTGAACCTTCGCTCCTCCTATCATCTGACTTCCTCAACCTCCTTCTCAACCCCCCCCCACCCCCCCTTCACACACACACACACATACCTGAACGCAATCGTGAGTGCCAGTTTGCTGCCGGACTGCATCATGGCGGCAATACACAGCCGACCACTCAGCAGCTGATCGGCAACACGGAGGAAGCGGTCGCGGGGGCGGGAAATGGACGAGCGAAACACACCCTCGGCGGACACGGAGGAAAACGCATCCAGCAGTGCCGTACGCGGCACACGCACGTGGTCAAACCATAGCTGCGGGGACGATACCGTTGGCGCGGGGTTTGGGGGTCAAGGGGGCGGTCGGAAAAGGCCGGAAAAGATGTCAATGGGGTGTTCGTGGGAGCCGGATAAAGAGCGGGCCGATGTGAGGGGAGTTGGGTAGGGGGTTACGGCGAAGCATAGAAAGATAAGACCCATACTGTAGGAGAAGAAGTAAGATACTGACCCGTAGTGACTTGGTCGGGCAGGGGTAGGGGGTGAAACAGCGTGAGGGCGGTCAAGGGGCGGGCGGCAGGGCGCAGGAGAGGGCCGGACACTCCCCTAAGCCCACCCCTCCACTCCACTCCCCCACCCCACCCCTACCCCAACCCCCCCCACACACCTTGCCATTATCCACTCCGTTGCAACCCATCTTGTGGCCCATGTCCTCCACCCGTACACCGGGACATACACTCATGTCGGGGTTGCTGTGGGTACGGAAAGGAGGCGAGGGGAGTTACGGCATGTATGTATGTACGTATGTATGCCATACGTATGTACGTATGTATGTGTCTCCAGGAGGGGGAGAGATTTGCGTCAGGTGACTTGGTGAAGACACGTGCGGATCTTCTCAAACAAGCCAACCGCCAAAAAAATCCAAAATCCCCCGTTCTATGCGCGTCCATGCCTCAGGCTGTCATGTAATAGTACGACACATACCGTACGACACATACCGTATCCTGACGAGGAAGCCGTGGATGCCCTCCTGGCGGGCAGCCACTGTCAACTGGGCAAACACCACTGCCCATTGCGCGTGCACGGCGCTGTTCGTAATCCAGTACCTGTGCACGACACATGGCAAGGGAGGACGAGGACAGAGGTGACAAGTACGGCACATGTACGAAAACACCCAAGCTGCTGGCTCCCTACTCCACGACAACCCTTACCACCCAGGCCGCCACGGCCAACACACACACCTGCAGCTTCCTTAAGCCTCAACGGAAGAAACAAACGTCCGCACCACCTATTGTTCGATTCCCCTTCCTCCCCCATTCATTCATCATTCATTCAGTGGTTCGTCTTTTTACCCCTTCCCCCCAGTGTTTTTTTTTTAAGTAATATATTACTTTTAAGGAATAAAGAGGCCATTTTGGCCTTTGGAAAAAAGGAACAAATTGAGGCCGATCTGTACATTTTCATTCCTCCAGCCAAAAACGTCCATTGCTGCCAGATTGCTCCGAAGTGTGCAGAACTTAGTATTATCGATCATAGAATAGATACGAGGGGCCGTAAGAAGGTCACGCCCGTGAGTCAACATGGCATAGCAGAATGTATGACCGGTCCTTACATAGCCAAACACGCAAAAGGCAACGACTTGAACGCCGAACGAACACCAAAACAGCAAGATAAGCCTGAATTTTTTCCTGATAAAGGTGTTTGGGACGGCGGTGCTGTTGTCGGTAATGCATCGGCAATGGTGTTGCTGCCAGCAGCGACCGATGACACGGGCACCATTACCCCTGCCTTCCATGGCGGTTGTGATCAGCATAAGCGCAAGCTGTCACCCAATCAGCTCGACAACAACAAATGCGGGGAGGCGCCCAACCCGAGCGCTCGCAGTGCCAAGCGGGCTCAGACACAGCGCATTTACGCGGACTTACTTATTGCTCACAAACAGTGCCAGAACTATCTATGCATGTGCATGAAGAGTGCGCACATGAACGAAAACGCGCCAACACAGTGCGTGCCTCTTGGTCTATGAGGGGAGTTGTAACTTATCGGGGGGGGGTCTGGGGGA